ATAGTTCTTTTTTAATTGCAATTTTTCACACAGTTATATTAGTGTTTGGAATTTTATCCATTTTTTTTTTCAAGAATGCAAAAATAAAAAAACACTGAAAGTAACTTTCGATTCGAAAAGGCAACTGGTTGTTCCGCATTTTGTTTTTGAATTGTTTGTTTCGTTTGAAATATTTTTCTTCTGGAGCTAACGAAAGTTAGTTATAGTAAGTACAAATTTTTGATGCTATGACTAGGGGAAAAAATTAATGTTGAAACATTTGAACAATCAGAGGCAAGAAAATATGTAAACAGAATCACCTATTTTCCTATTTTCCATAGAATTTAAAATTGTTGAAGAACTATTTTGTCATATTTTTTTCCATCTTTAAAGTTCTCTTACTGGTGTTTCCCTAGTATAGTTGGTATTTTTTTAGAGTTTCTTACTTCATATAGAAAAGAAGAAAGGAAGCAAGGACATCATTATTTTTTCTAAGTCTATATACAATCCACATAATAGTGAAAGTATAAAGAAACATTTAACCTATGTAAAGGTATACAAAAGTATTATCTGAAAGTTATTATTCAACATCAATAGATCAATTAATTAAACTATTTTATGTTTACCATATTCTATAAATAACAAAAATTGAAGTTTTGAATATTTAATAATTGTATTTCGGTTTGTAGCTACATAAAATAATAATAAATGTTGCTATATGAAACTGCAGTAATTATTTGTTTTAAAATATATTGTGTATTAAATTTGATTCTTAAATTGATAATATTTTTTAAAGGTTTTATGAATGGAATAGTAATCTTTAAACTTGCTAGCATTTTATAAGTATTGATTATTTGTCAATATGCTTTCTGAAAAATCTAGATGGAAAAAAGTATGAATTTTTTATAAATCTTTCAAGTTAAAAATAACGAATAAAAAAGGAGAATGAACAAAATGCAGTATTTTTTCAGGCTGTTATTAAATAGCTAGGCTTTGGATAAATTGCATACAATAATTTTTCCGATGTAATTATTTTTTTGTTTGAGCAATTTTCTTTAACTTTACCCTGCTGCTAATCTTTAATATTCTTCATAACCAATTCGCGTCTGATGATGTGATGTATATAACATGAAAAAAATCCCGTACTTCAATTGGATAACTGCAATTAACTTTAGCATGGGTTAATTGTGCCATTCGTTGATTCAGAAACTAATCAGGTTCGACTCACACACGTGACGTCACTTAAAGGTAGCCAATTAAATCTGAGTTAAGTCACATGGTTAGGCATAATCACTTAACTTCTCAAGCACTCAAGTGTGATTAAAATAAAAAGACAAAAATATCACAAATGTGAATTTTTTTTTTTTAATGATGTAAATAGTGAGCATCTGAAATTATATAAAACACATTCTTCTTATGCATGTTAATAATTCAATAGTGCGAAAGTTGGGGACATTAGCTTTTAATGCTATAATTCTTAATTTCTTGGAACAGCTTTCAGCCACACGCCGTACTTTGGACAAGTTATCACAGTATGGCAGTGCAAAGTAAGTTCTGTCTCCGTTTTCTCACAGGGTTGCAATTTCACTTTTTTCAGCAGCTTGAAAAGAATCATTTTTGCTTCCAGCACGGCAAAACGAGCACCTATGCAGTTTCTAGGACCCACTCCGAAGGGCAGGAATGCCATGTTATTAATCGATCCTTTGTTCTCGGGAGAAAAGCGATCTGGATCAAATTTGTAAGGTTCCGGCCAATATTCTGGATCACGTTGGATGTTCCACACTGGAACAAAAACGTTCGCTCCTTTTGGAATCACGTGCGATCCGATATCGTAATCTTTATCACAAAATCTGGTTAGGAAGCCTGTTACAGGAGGATATAACCTAAGGGACTCATTGAATACTTGATCCAAATACTGTAATCCTGTAAAAGAATAAAATTTGAAGATTGGATATACCATTGCAAAATGTATTCACTGAGAAAAAAATATGATCAATATTACAGGAATATGGTAAAATATGCAGTGTTTATGGCTCTAAGGCAGTGTTTTCCAAAGTGTGGTACGCGTACCCCCCAGGTGTACGGGAACGGCTTAGTGGGGGTACGCGTTCTTATGCGAAATGTCTTGCAACAAACGAAAATTTCAAAAATTGTTATTTAAAAATAAAGATACTCATGAAAATTTACGATTACGTATTTTCCTATTGGCTATTTTTTGCAGAGTTAACAGTTAATAATGAGTGGTGTCAACAGTCAGTTACGATTTTTAATTTTTTTACAGTAAAAAATGCATTCATTTTTTTATTAGTTGTACACAGCGTTACGAAAAATTTAGAAAGGGTACACAAAACTCATAAGTTTGAGAAACACTGCTCTAAGGAAACATCTAAAAAGCTCGTTAATTTTGATCGAAGCACTTTGGTTGTGAATTTAGTAAAATTAGCAATAAAATAAGGTTTATAACAGTTGCTATTTAAAATAGTTACTGAAGGTACTGACTAAAAATGAGAGAAACTTAAACTAAGAGTTAAATTTAAGTACCACGACTAAACTTAACCAAACAACTGAGCCTTCGAAAAACAGCTTTAATATGAGTAGCATAAAATAGTATATGGAACCTTGTAATGTTGCGTAATCCGAATCCTTTACATCTTTTATCTCTTCGTAGATACGATCTTGTATCTCTGGATGGGCTACTAACAGGTGGAAAGTAAAGGCCAAAGCTGTTGCTGTTGTTTCATAACCACCTAAGAGTACTAAGAAAGCTTGGGCCACAACTTCCTCTTCGGTTAATTTAGTTCCACTTCCAGCTGTAAATAGAGACACGGTTATGTTTACGTAAAAGTTCTTCTTTGCTTGAAATCGTTTACTAAATAATGGTGGCAGTTATTTGAAGAAAAAAAAGTTGACAAAATAGTTAAACAAGCTTATAAATAGCTATTTTAAAATGAGTAAAATGTTTTTAGAGTGAGTGAAAAAAGTTCTTCAGGAACAGAAGTATTTAAAAAGAGATACACATAAACAAATAAATTACATTGGATTATAAATCTTATATCCCTCCAAAAGGATAGTAGAATTTGAATTGATTTATATTATATATAGCAATTACATGCACTGTAAAACCAGGATGAAATAATGGTAAAAAGTACTCAGGGTGCAAGTGCTTTTTACCGTAAAATTCATTCTTACCGGAACATGTTACGTGACAAAATATATGCTATTCCGTAATTTTTACAGTATTAGTTACCTTAAAATCACTGAATTACTCTAATTAAATAAATATTACAGTATAGTAATTGACGGTAAAAATAGATTTTACGGATGATGCACCCAAAGTCCCCGTACTTTTATCGTAATTTGATCCGGAATTTTTTACAGTATTGAACAATAACTTTAAAATCAGAACAATGATTTTAAAACGCATTTTTTAAAACAAAGTATTTAAATTGTGCATAAAAAAAGCTTCTAAAACAAATTGTATTTTTTTCCAAAATTTTCAAACTTTTGATTAAACTAAAATGTGCATAGAACTTATTGCGTTGTAGAATACTGTCTGTAGATAATTTGATTTAAATTAAAAGGATTCGAAAAAAAATGATTCAGTTTTCATTTTTTTTAATAAGACTATAAATCTACGCTGTTCTCTTTTTTAATAAGACTATAAATCTACGCTGTTCACTTTTTTAATAAAATTATTAATCTACGCTGTTCACTTTCTTAATAAGATAATAAATGTACGCTGTTGATGAATGTTGGAGACAGGGCTGCGGCTTCAATTTTGGGGATGCTCCTCAGGCTCTCAGCGGACTTTGGGGTACACTTCCAATGGATTCCATCACACGTTGGAATCAAAGGTAACGAGATGGCGGACTCACTGGCTAAAGATGCTTCTTTAGAACCTTTACAGCCAGATTTACCTTCCANGGAACAAAATATCTGATATACCGCAATTTTTACAGTATTAGTTACCGTAAAATCACTGAATTACTCTAATTAGATAAATATTACGGTCAATATTATAGTATAGTAATTTATGGTAAAAATAGATTTTACAGATGATGCACCCAAAGTCCCCGCACTTTATATCGTAATTTGATCCGGAATTTTTTACAGTATAGAACAATAACTTTATAATCAGAACAATGATTTTAAAAGGCATTTCTTAAAGCAAAAAATTTAAATTGTGCATAAAAAAAGCTTTTAAAACAAATTGTATTTTTTTCTTAAATTTTCAAACTTTTGATTAAACTAAAATGTGTGTACAGAACTTAATCGGCTGCAGAATACTGTCTGTAGATAATTTGATTTAAATTAAAAGGATTCTAAAAAAAATCATTCACTTTTAATTTTTTTAATAAGACTATAAATCTACGCAATTCACTTTTTCAATAAGATCACTGTTCACTTTTAATCACTGTTCACTTTTAAGATTATAAGTCTACACTTTTCACTTTTTTAATAAGATAATAAATCTACGTTGAGTAGTGATGTGACTGTGTAAAAAAAATTCTGAGCTATCGTTATGAAATGCAAGTGTTTGATTTTGATTGTCAATTTGCTGACCTCATAGACACAAACACTCCGTTGTTCAAGGAATAGTTTAACCCCTTCCTTCTCGCTCCCGTGAAAATGACGGGGTGAGGTTTTGCCCTCTATTTCTTGCTCCCGTGAAATTGGCGGGCTGGAGAGTTCATATTAAGGTAATTGTAGATAGTTAGTTTATTTTAAACTAGATGTCAGCACTAATCAAATATGTGTATTTGGCAAAATAGGCACTTTTATGACCGTTTTCTTGAAAATTAACCGATAGTTAAGGGGTTAAGCTTAACCTCCTTCACTCTCCTGGCCCACAGCGAACTGTTGCTGAAATGCTTTACTTTACTTTATCAATATTCTATGGCAGTCTATAAGTTAGAAGCAAAAATCTTGGTTTTAACAAGATTCATTTACTGAAATAAATAAAATAAAACGGTTGTTAATTAGAATTAAAAATACTGTGAATAAATGTTATTTTTTCTTACATTTAGTTCCTTCTTCACTGCTTTCGAGAAGAGTTTGCAGAATATCGGCACTTTTGAAGTTCGGGATCTTGCGTCGCTCTTTAATCACGCCTCTTATATGATTCGCAATGAAATCCATAGATTGTTTGAAGGGCGTTGTAAATTCAAGTAATTTAATCACTTTAGACATAAAAGGAAATAATATGATGTATTCAGCTAATTTATTGTACTGTGTGTCCATAATAGTCCTTACCTAAAATAAAAGCATAATGTTTAGTTATAAATATTTAGTTCGGTGTTAAGAGTATCCTTAAAAATCTTAAATAAATAAAACTTTAATTTGAAAAATATTCTTTTGTAACTTGTAAATGGCGTAGAATATTGGAGAACTTTTGCAAAATGTTGCGGATCATCTCAACGATAACGTAATTTGAGCTTCACAGCGCATGCGCAAAAATTTCCTTCAAATAGAAGTACCATTGTTGAAGATAAGATTAAAATCACAGTTAACGTTAGGCAAGCTCTATACAAAATCTCGGTATTGTATTTAATTCTCAGGATTGTGCTACTGCATTTATATCTTGAAAGTTGCTTCAGTTAAACATGTGATATTTTCTCAGTATGGTATTATTCTGTATCTTTTCGTTCTCCATATCTCTGGATTATATGCAAACTGAAGCAAAATTTGCACTCATATATGTAACTCGTTTATCAAAAGGTAATACACAACAAGGAAATGGCTTTTTTTTTCTCAGTAATAACTTATTGTTTTCTGATAAATGATTAATATTGATTTATTGATTGATTAGTGATTTAATAACGATACAGAGTTTGAGCTGTTAAAAGTTATACATCCTTTCTACATTGAAAGGAGAAAAAAACGGTCAAATATATCCTGGTTAAAAAAGACTAAACTAAAACATTTTAACCTTAGAACTAAAGAGGGAATAAAATTTTCCAATCAAAAAATGAAGGCAGAAACTAAGCGCAGTCTTAAAAAGAAAAAAAAAAGTACAACCTTGTTGTAGGGTAGAGGGTGGCTACTATGCACATGGAGCAAGAGTGAAAACTTTAAATAACTCTTTTAATTATAGGTAAAATCTTTTCAGTGAGATATGGTAGATTTTGGCCGTTTATGTACCACGCTTTGAATATTTTAGTAGAAATCTGTAAAAGAAGATTTTAAGGTAAGTAACTTTCTTATTTTCTCTTTACTCTTTCCTTAATATATTTTATTTTAAGAATTTCAAGAAACGGTGATGGTGGTAATATGTTACAAATAAAGCAGGGGTTTTTTAAACCTATGTTGACATTAACCCTTTCTCTGTATAGCTTTTATTGACCAGCATTAGGCACAAACGAACACATGCTTTCGTAGAGCTGGTTTAGAGACACGGTGAAGGAACCTGTGTGTGGTTTCCACGATTACGATATTAATTATTGCAACGTTCATCGGAATTTTCATTCCTATAAATGTCCCCACTGATTTCGTTCAATCTCCAAGAGAAAAGAAATGAATTGGTTAGAAATGCAAGAGATTTCAGATTATTAATTTCCTAAATTATAAGGATTTTGTAGAAAAATATAACTTTACAAACAGTGGCTATAATCTCAAGTAAAACGTTTAGTATGAAATATTTGTGATGCCTGGTGGCTGAGCGGCAGCGCTTCGCGCCGTCGTGCCACAGGTCCCTAGTTCGATCCTGGGCCAGGGATGGCTGACTCAGCCTTCCATCCCTTCAGTGGGTCAATAAATGAGTACCAAGCATGCTTGGGAACTAAACAATGGGGTTCCGCGTTCGGCTGACCGCCTGACTGGAACATCTGCTCCTGCACCCCAGAGCACGAAGTAGAGAAAACTGAGATGGGCACAGTAGGCCTTGGCCCTCTTTTGGCTGTCGTGCCACTGAGTTTAGTTTATGAAATATTTGTAACCACTTTTTAAAGGTTTTAAGAAAATTCATTGGGGATGTTTTAACAATTTTTTTAAGCGGATGTAATTTAATACAAATAAACTAGAGAAGGAAACTAATTTTCGATACATATTTAATTTTTTGCCATGTCCCAAACTAAAACAGATCATCAACAAATGCTCCCGTCTTCTCTTTTGAGAAATGTTCTCATTGCCCCAGTAAGGAAAATATCACTAAGTAAGCCATGCTCACAGTGCGCTATTTTCCATTCGGGCCATTTCATCGTTTAATTAAAGCAATTTTTATTAAAACTGATTCAACTTAAAATTCGATCTACGCTCTCCACTTTTAAAAGTAAAAATTAATAATATCTTTAAACTGTAAAGTTTTGCATTCATTATATCATTATTATTAAATGCTGTTACAAATTAGTATTTTAATTAAAATATGTCAATATTTATTCCTCAATGAGGCTTAGAATGAAATTAATTTTATTTAGGCGTTAGATATACCTTTCTGAGTTGTAAAAAACTACTACTTAATTCGCTATTAATTTTGTTTACACTAGCCTCAAAGCCTGTCCACACTACTTGTGCAATGGGACTAACATAGACAAAAGCAACCTTTCTTGAAAACTACACAATTATATAATTCAACATAAAAATCATAATGCAAGTAAACATCAAAATTATTGTTCAAAAGTACTTCACGAGTTAAAAGTTATATTAAATATCGTTTTTTCAACCAATTAGTGAGAAATGTCCATATTAGCCACTTCTCCCCTATTTTTTTAAGCGGCTCTCTCTCTATTTTTTTTAATATTTTTGATTAAATTATTATTGTTCTTTCTTTAGATATTTCTTTTCTTCATTATAAACGAATGCATTTTAAAAATGTGCTTTTTGTTATATTATTATTTATAAATTATGTGTATTTTCAATCACCCCAGGCATCCTATGAGTTTTTATTTGAAAACGAAGAAAAAAAGAAAATTAATATGCTATTTTATTCTTACATTAGAGAGAAGAGCATCATCAGGATTTTCTTGGCAATTTGTTTTCATTGCAAGAGCACAGGCTGCAATCACGTCTAAGGTCAGTCCTTGCACAAGTTGAGAGATATTAAATCCTTCATTCGAATGTGCTTTCTTCATTATAAGGTCAATAGTTATATCAACCTATGAAGAAAAGACTTATTTTAAATAAAAACTATTAAAAAAAATTTTAGTAAAAAATACTTGCTTGAAATTTCAGTTTATAAATGCTTAAAATCAATTTATTTCACTCAAAAAGGATTATTTGTGAAGAGAAAAGCAAATAACAGAAAAAACGCCCTTAGAAACTAGAGGATTCGATTTTTTGCTTGAGCGCTGATGGTCCAGCGATCTAGTTCAGCCTCACGAGTTTGTCATTTCTGTGACGATTCAATTCCTAGAAATATTGAGAGTAGAAATATTGAAAGCTTGCTTGAAATTTCAGTTTATAAATGCTTAAAATCAATTTATTTCACTCAAAAAAGATTATTTGCGAAGAGAAAAGCAAGTGACAGAAAAAACGCCCTTAGCAACTAGAAGAATCGATCTTTTGACTGAGCTGTGATGATCGAGCGATTTAGTTCAGCCTCACAAGTTTGTCATTTCTGTGACGATTCAATTCCTAGAAATATTGAAAGCTTGCTTGAAACTTCAGTTTATAAATGCTTAAAATCATTTTATTTCACTCAAGAAGGATTATTTGCGAAGAGAAAAGCAAGTGATAGAAAAAAGGTCCTTAGCAGCTAGAGGATTCACTCTTTTGACTGAGTGCTGATGGTCGAGCGATCTAGTTCAGCCTCACAAGTTTGTCATTTCTGTGACGATTCAATTCCTAGAAATATTGAGAGTAGTCATAGGAAAATACTAAAACATAAAAATAGAAGAGTGTTTTTTACCTACCTTCTTGGAGAAAACATCCGTCATTTGTTTAATTTTTCCAGAACTGAAAGTTGGAGTGACAATATTTCTGACTTCTTTCCATCTTTTATCTCGAAGACCGACCAAAGTCTTTGGTGCTGGATCAACATCCACAAATAATGTTGGTCGGTTGCTGAACACATTGATGTCTTTGATTAAGATCTAAGTAAAAATAAATATTTACCAATAACAATAATAGCGTAATAAAAATTATTAGTTGGAAAATTTTTGATAACAATTTTTACTCATCTTTTTTAATTTCATATCAGTGCAAAAACCGAAAAAGAAAATGTTTATTGGTGTAGTGTGATTGTGAAACCTTCGATTGCGAGCAACTAGCAGCTCGCGGGAATATTATCGTTAGATCGCAATAAAGCTCTGGTTGACTAACTTTGAACTGAACTTGTTGATGACATAATAAGAATTATATTTTTTTCAGTGAAATTAGTAAGTTTTATTTTGAAAGATCCGCAGTGGACTCATCGTTAAGACACGGTTCCCAGCAGATCACCGAAGTCAAGCATCACTGGCTGCGGTCAGTGTGCTGGTGGGCGACCACTAGGATCAGTCTGCGTAGGGACCGAGGGTGTGCGGTATGGGTCCTCGTTAAACTGTTCTACCGTAAAGTGCTCGACTTCGCGTGTAGGTTGTCGGGCTACCGAAGCGGGGGTGCCATCCTCTCTGCAGAGAATCAAAAATGTGATGGCATGTCCTCGGATCATCCTCAGGGATGCTTCCCAGACCGTCGCCAATAGCCCATTGTGCAGCTCTAGTGCGACGTAAATGAACTACAGCAACAACTTTATTTTTAAAAAAAATCTGTAATTACATTTGTTATTTATTGCTAGTTCAATTTTAATTTTTCTTAAGTCACAAGTCAGTTTCTTTTTTTTTATATACGATTCCATTAAAATTGATTTCAGACTGCAATTATGTATCGTCTTTAATACGTATTTTTATAAATCTTGTCAAGAATGAAGTGAAAAAGCATACCCGTTAGAAGGTCTCAATTTAACATTTATATGAAGAAGTAGAAATATTGCCAAAAGTTTGACGAATAATAAAATTGGAATAAAAACCAGAAAGATCGTTCCTTGAAATGTGAAGATGTTTCTAAGCAACGCTTTTCACTCAGACAATAAAATAGGCTTTGATTTTCTTTAATCGTGCATTCCTTGTTAATGATTCGTCAGATTTTACTATTGTTTCGTTTTTTTTGCTCAAATATTAATTTGCGACCCTGTATGTGACTTTCATTTTAATTGTCTACATGCTTATGTAACAATTACTTAGGACTTCGCTTTCCTTCACCTGTCATCACAGGAAGCTACTCTTCTGGATATCAAAGGCTGGTGTTTAGTCAAGATATTCCGTTAGGAAACTTATTAATATTGCTTAGAAATCAGCATGATATACGTAGCCTTGTTTTATTGCCAATTTTGAATCACACATGATTGACTTTTAGTCAGCAAAAAGCAGATTTCTACGCTGGGGCTTTAATTCGTGATCGGCTGCCTACATGTTAAGAAGTAAAATATTACCTTTTTCAGTATCTCCAGATCTTTAATAACCACAAATATGTCTTCTCCCACATAGTATCCTAATACGTTTCCATATTTTTTGATCCAAGCAGACATGAGCTCATTTGGCGTAGGATCCTTCTTCAATTGGCGCAGATTCCCAGTTAAGAAATCCGGTTCTGGTCCAGGTATTCCGTAGCGTTTCAACGTTTGGTGGATCGAATGCCTCCGAATGGCCCATTTGGATATGATGATAACAATGAAGGAGAAAAAGACGCCAATAAGAGTCAGTGTCACATACATTCTTAAACTGAAAAACAATTTTAAAAAAATGCAAAAGAGCATCAAAATGCAAAGAATTCAATGCTTTGTAATATATCTATAGATAGTACAAAATTAAAAGCAAAGGTGGTCTAATGTCAGATGAATTATAAGTCACCTCAAACCATAAATTGAGGCCCTTGGTATGTATTTTAATATTTTTATCACGGCCATTAATATATATGTTCAGAACACCTGTCGAAAACGAAAAATCTGCAAGCTGGATCAGAAATTTATCTTTAAGCAAGTAAAACAACAGGAATCGAAGTCTGTCAAATCACTAGGGAGCAAAGCAAGAAGTAAAAATAAGAAACAATTATGATCTCCTGGTGAAACCTAATTCATTTGTAATAATTACTTATCAAATCCTTACTGTTGTTTACAGTAATCAAGCAGGGTGTGATGATTTACAGTTTTAACTTTCTTAAACCCCAGTGATTCATTAGATTTTGATAGTGTTTTTGTCCTCTCTTCATTTAAATATTAATTTGTGATTCCTAATGTGTATATTGTTCAACTCCGTTGTTTGCATACATGACGTCAATGCATAAGATAAAATATGTAATGCACCAAGGAATTATACTTCTCGGTGGTTCATTAACAATAGTAATTGAGATACAGTGAAACCTCTCGGTAAGGGCCACCTGTCCTTCCATTGCAAATTGGCCCTTATGGGGGGTGGCCCTTAAATGGGGGTGACCAAAAAATAAAATGAGGATATCAAAATTTATGTAGAAAAAAACTGTTTATTAAAATTTTAAGTTTTTATACATGTTTAAAAAAATTTTCAATTGAAGTTTGTTTACTTTTTACAATTTTTTCGCAAACAATTTTAGTTTCTAATGATTTCTTAACTCTATAAAACAAATTAGTTAAANTCTAGTTCAGCCTCACAAGTTTGTCATTTCTGTGACGATTCAATTCCTAGAAATATTGAGAGTAGAAATATTGAAAGCTTGCTTGAAACTTCAGTTCATAAATGCTTAAAATCATTTTATTTCACTCAAGAAGGATTATTTGCGTAGAGAAAAGCAAGTGATAGAAAAAAGGCCCTTAGCAGCTAGAGGATTCACTCTTTTGACTAAACGCTGATGGTCGAGCGATCTAGTTCAGCCTCACAAGTTTGTCATTTCGGTGACGATTCAATTCCTAAAAACATTGAGAGTAGTCATAAAAAAATACCAAGACATAAAAATGGAAGAGCGTTTTTTATTTACCTTCTTAGAGAAAACATCTGTCATTTGTTTAATTTTTCCTGAACTAAAAGTAGGAGTGACAATGTTCCTGACTTCCTTCCATCTTTTGTCTCGAAGACCGACCAAAGTCTTTGGTGCTGGATCAACGTCTACAAATAATGTTGGTCGGTTGCTGAACACATTGATGTCTTTGATTAAGATCTAAGTAAAAATAAATATTGACCAATAACAATAATACTGTTTTTACTCATTCTTTTTAATTTCATATCAGTGCGAAAAACCGAGAAAAAAATGTTTATTTGTGTAGTGTGATTGCGAAACCATCGATTAGCAGCTCGCGGGAATATTATTGGTCGATCGCATTAACACTCTGGTTGACTAACCTTGAGCTGAACTTGTTGATGACATAATAAGAATTGTATTTTTTTCAGTAAAATTAGTAAGTTTTATTTTGAAAGTCCCGCAGTGGACTGATCGTTAAGACACGGTTCCCAGCAGATCACCGAAGTCAAGCATCACTGGCTGTGGTCAGTGTGCGGGTGGGTGACTACTTGGATCAGTCTGCGTAGGGACAGAGGGTGTGCGGTATAGGTCCTCGTTAAACTGTTCTACCGTAAAGTGCTCGACTTCGCGTGTAGGTCGTCGGGCTACAGAAGCGGGGGTGCCATCCTCTCTGCAGAGAATCAAAATTGTGATGGCATGTCTTCGGATCATCCTCAGGGATGCTTCCCAGACAGTCGCCAACAGCACATTGCGCAGCTCTAGTGCGATGTAAATGAACCTACAACAACAACTTTATTTTTAAAAAAAATCTGTAATTGCATTTGTTATTTATTGCTAGTTCAATTTCAATTTTTTTTAAGTCACAAGTCAGTTTCTTTTTGTTATATATATAATTCCATTAAAATTGATTTCAGACTGCAATTATGTATCGTCTTTAATACGTATTTTTATAAATCTTGTCAAGAATGAAGTGAAAAAGCATACCCGTTAGAAGGTCTCAATTTAACAGTTAAGTGAAGAAGCAAAAATATAACCAAAAGTTTGACGAATAATTATATTGGAATAAAAACCAGAATGATCGCTCTTTGAAAGGTGAAGATGTTTCTAAGCAACGCTTTTCATTCTCTCTCAATTTTTTCCGACAATAAAATAGACTTTGATTTTCTTTAATCATGATTTCCTTGTTAATGATTCGTCACATTTTACTAATGTTTCGTTTTTTTTTTCAGCTCAAATATTAATTTGCGACCCTGTATGTGATTTTCATTTTAATTATCAACATGTTTATGTAAGAATTACTTAGAACTTCGTCGTCCTTCTCCTGCTATCACAGGACGCTACTCTTCTAGAAATCATGCGCTGATGTTTAATCAAGATATTCTATTAGGAAATTTATTAATGTTGCTTAGAAATCAGCGTGACATACGTGCCCTTGTTTTATGGCCAATTTTCAATCACACATTTCTTAAAAGTCAGCGAAAAGCAGATTTCTACGTTGGGGCTTTAATTCGTGATCGGCTGCCTACGTGTTAGGAAGTAAAATGTTACCTTTTTCAGTATCTCCAGATCTTTGATAACCACAAATATGTCTTCTCCCACATAGTATCCTAATATGTTTCCATATTTTTTAATCCAAGCAGACATGAGCTCATTTGGCGTAGGATCCTTCTTCAATTGGCGCAGATTCCCAGTTAGGAAGTCCGGTTCCGGTCCAGGTATTCCGTAGCGTTTCAACGTCTGGTGGATTGAATGCCTCCGAATGGCCCATTTAGATATGATGATAACAATGAAGGAGAAAAAGACGCTAATAAGAGTCAGTGTCACGTACATTCTTGAGCTGAAAAACAATTTCAAAACAAAAATAAATGCAAAAAGAGCATCAAAAAGCAAGGAATTCAATGCTTTGTAATATATCTATTGATAGTACAAAATTCGAAGCAAAGGGGGTCTAATGTCAAATAAATTACAAGTCACCTCAAACCGTAAATTGAGGCGCTTGGTATGTATTTTAATATTTTTATCACGGTCATTAATATATGGGCAAATCTCTAGAACCTTTGACTTTCGAAGTTAAAAAAATTTTTTAAAAAATAATAGGCACACTATTTTTACACCTCCAGAATTGTTTGAAAATGTATGAAATATCAGAAAATAATCGTGAACATCGAAAATTTTGATGCCCTTATAAGTATAAACAAAAAATTTTAATTTTTGAATTTTCCATATTTACCTTTACTTTTCATCAAAAATTATTAGTATCATAAATAAATTTAAAAATTTTAATATTAAGTTAAATTGTTATAAAATGTGTGAAAAGGCTTACTTTAATTATTTTCAGTCAAAAAATATATTCAATTAGTAAAACATAGGGAAAAAACTAATTTCTGATGTGTTAAATTCAATTAATTAATCCTGAGGTTACGGTTTGACAGGGTTACGGTCTGGACAACCTAGGGTATAGATCGATAACTTTACTCAGATGCAACGCAATGCGATGCACAGAACACGAAAAATAAGTTAGGTAATGACAAACGTGTATTGAAAATTTTGATTGATTTTAACATTTACTTTTTAGATCTGCGTCTGGTTACGGTCTTGACATCGTTACTGTTACCTCACCGAATGACAGTTTGTGATAAATTCGATTAATTTATAATTACTACAAATAAAAATATTTATCTATAATAATGATACAAGTTTGTTCTACTTTAAATAAGCTTTTGGAATATCAGTAACATAAAACTTGTCGAATTGGATTGTGTACCTTTTTTTTTCCAATTTTCGATGGTTACGGTTTGACGTGCCAAAATTTGGCGACGAACTTTAAGTGTTTGCAAACGTCAATATTCACGAAAAATATCATTCAAGAAAATATGATAGTACAGCTGAGCTACTAAATTATGTTTTTAGTGATTTTCAGTTTTTTTTTAAACAGAATACATATTGAAAAAAAAAGTATGTTAAACACTCTAAGCGACACTTATGAAAAGTTGTCAAATGTAGGATTGAAGTAAGAAATGAAAGCCAAAAGCAAGTTACTCGCGATCAAAACTATACGTATCTTAAAGTTGGTAATGCATAGTTATTCCTGTAATTTTATTAGAATTAATTTTCCCATATTATGTTATATATTTATAAGAAAAGTTTGAAGACACATAGGTTAAAGGTTCTAGAGATTTGCTCATATATGTTTAGAACACCTGTCGAAAACGAAAAGTCCGCAAGCTGGATCAGAAATTTATCTTTAAGCAAGTAAAACAGCAGAAATCGAAGTCTGTCAAATCACTAGGAAGCAAAATAAAAAGTAAAAATAAGAAACAATTATGGTTTCCTGGTGAAATCTAATTCATTTCTAATAATTACTTATCAAATCATCACTGTTGCTCACAGCAATCAAACAAGGTGTGATGATTTATAGTTCTAACTTTCTTAAACCCTAGTGATTCATTAGATTTTGATAGTGATTTTGTCCTCTCTTCATTTAAAAATTATTTTATGTACCCTAATGTGTATGTGTACCCTAATATAATTTGTACCCTAATGTGTATTTTAATGTAATTTGTAATACCCTAATGTGTACATTGTTCAACTCCAGTTTTTGCATACATGACGTCAATGCATATGATAGAATATGTAATGCACCAAGGAATTATACTTCTCTGTGGTATATATATGATTAAATTTTTTGTTGTTGTTGATATGAATGAAAAAATCCAAATGTAATTATTGCGTTAAATTGCGAACTATTTAATTATTAATCGTTAATTTCTTTACAATAAGTGCATGTTAATTATGTTGCCCATATTTGCGTTTTGTGTCTGATCGAAACTAGTAGATCATTATATTTTATGAAATGAAGACAACATATTTCAATAGATCATGACTGTTAACAACTGTTTCCTGTCTTTTGACTGCTTCATTTTAACTACAGTTAATTTAAGCTGACGAGAAACATAATTTTTATATCATTTCAAAATTGTTTTTCCTATGTAAACATGCAAAAATAGAAATTAGTGAAGAAAAGAAACCTATGTTTTTCAATCGAACTGAAAACGAGAAAATAATTTTTGTTAGCCCTTTTTGTATGTCTTTAGTTTCAGTTTTGATAATAATAATAATATTTTTCTTGTTTAGTTTTTATTCTGTCACTGCATTTGCGAACAAAAAGCTTTTTTTTTTGCACACTAATATAGATACTGAAAAAAACTACAAACAGTTAATATACGTAAAGACACTGGCAAATGGTTAATTATTTTAATTACCTTTCAGAAAAGGGTACCTTTTCATCCAAATAAAAGCTCAGCTTGCTCAAAAATTTGTAGTTTTATTCTAATGCTGCATTATTTAAGACAGGCATAAGTTTTGATTATTCGATGACTTGTGATAAAATATACTACGAAAAAAAATACGACCTTTGTTACAAAGTAAATGTGAGATATGAGTAAAAGATTGTGTAAAAAATAAAGAGTTTATCCAATAAACTGTAAATAAATAAATAAAATAAGAGGTTTTATTTTTATCTGTTTAAGATAGCTTAGGTTTATGAGAACAAATCGTTAAAATAAAAAAAAAATTTTTCATCCAATATTGAAAATTATAAATCAGTATTGAAAAAAAAATTAAATTCTTTTCGAATATTCTAGAATCTAGAATCTAGAATTTTTTTAAACAAAGAAGCACGAGATTTTTTTTGGACTAATAAGTATGCTTGTCTAAAGTATTTTTTCATTTTATATAACAAGAATAGTATCATTAAACAATTTTAAAAATCAATTATACAGATTAGCCCTTTTACACATTATTTTCATTATAAATATTGTTAATAATGTCTTTCAATATTTCGTATTAATTTATATCAAAATACATGAAAAAATACTTTATTTAACATTTTGCTTATATATGACTTTGAAATACAGCATGAAATATTGGTGTCTTTTTGTGGTTTAAAGGGAAAAAAAGCGTCTCACTTTAAGCAATAATTTTTAAATTTGCACTTATTTGTATGTGCAAATAAGGTCTAATGATCTAAAAAAAGTTATTCATTATTGAATAACTTCTTATTCATAACTGACTAAGAAGTTATTCAATTTATAAATTCGTTAATTGATATATATCACGGAAAAACCTTTTTTCAAACTACTTTTTTTGTATTTTGTATTTTAGTGCAATTATAATTCTAATAATCTAACAGAATTTTTTAAGAAATTATTTGAATGTTTTTTATTATTAAAAAAATACCAAAACATGTTCTAACGCGTAGTTAGAGCGTCCAGAAAAAAATATAAAAAGGACGCCGGTGTCCAATCTGCGTCAAAGGGTTAATTATAAAGCGATCAAATTTAATAAATTATTTACAGAAATCAGTCAATTTTAAAAAGACGGATGTAAATAAGCAATTTCGAATTATTTATAAGCAATAGATATCGATATAAAAATTATATTATAGTGTAAAAGTAATAGATATAAATATTGTAGATGAAATTTTGACAGAAAATACTAGCACATAGGATACCAGTACTTTTTACCGTAAAATTTTACAGAACCAAAAAATCTGATATATCATAATTTTTATTGTAATATTTGATGGTAAAAGATTACCTTCATTTAGAAGCGTTGAGTCCTACGTTATTAAGGCTGAAATTGAATTGACTTTAGTACTTGAATATCCATAAGATTTTAATATAAGTAGAAAAAATATTTTTATATGATTTTATATAGAGTATTTAATTAAGCAAAGGCATAACACAGCTATTAATATGATGCATGTTTTACAGAGTGCACTATAGGCCAGAAGACCATGGTCTTTGGCCAAAAGTAAAAAATTAAATTTTCAACTAAAATACGTGTAGGCAGTTTTAATATAGCCCAAACCATAATCATTCCAAACATTATAAGTTACTTTTTAGACCAACGAGAGTACAATGTAATGAAAAGCATGTTAATTTTTTTTTTTAAATGTAACTCTTAAATTTTTATTTCAGAAATATATATAGGAATTTCACCTTACTGTTACATTTTTATCAGAGTAATTAGTCTGAAATTATAGTAAAATTTTTCAATTTGTTGGATTATTTAATACTTTTGACAAACTTATAGTTTATATCTTACCATTTGACATTTTACAATGTTTGAATGACTTTCGAAACTTAGTTCCAAAAAGTTCCACGAGTTACTTTTTTTGTTGTCTTCTTCGACGTTTCTTCTTTCGAAAAAAATATTGCCCCATTTTGCTCGCATTGCAAAGGTGGACAAAATATATCAAAAAACAAAAATTATGTTTTTTTCTTCATGTTTTTGCATTATTTTGTAATATTGCTTCGGAAATATAATTTGCTTTTCATTTTTAATATAAAATTACGAAAATTATTATATTTTCATTGCTATATTTATTTATTTAAACGCACTATATTATTTTCTTTATTTTTGCTCGCCATATTTCAACCGCCATTTCGTTTTTTTGGGTATCTTTAGTGTATTTCTAAATTTCAACTATGAATTCAATTTACCTGCACGTGAAAACCCCTAAATAAAATCCCCAAATTTTGAAACAAATTTTATCGAAATACTAATTTTGACCACGAAACTTTGGATGCTGGCCCACTGTGGAGTGTAGGGAAGATGAACTTCGCACTGATAGGAAAATCTAAACGAAAAATAAAACACATTATATAAACGATATACTTTGGGATTTATATTCAATTGAAAAAAAAAAAACCTGAAAGGAGAAACAGTTCCAGTTTTTTTATACTTCCTGGTTTAGGAAAGAAAGATCAGAGATCATTTATTTAACAATATTTACAGTGCAATTACTTAAACTTTGTAATCAAATAAATATTGCTGTAAAAATTGCGGTGCTAAGTCTTAGGGTAAAAATTAATTTTACTCAGGGCGCAGAACTTTTTAAAGTTGATCTGAAATTTTTTACATGTATCAATTCACCATTAATATGAAAGTACTCTTTAACACTGGTCAGGGATACAAATTAAAATAAGGGAGTTAATTTAACAAGTAAACTGTGAAAGGAAAAAGCCATCTGTTTAATGTCTATGTGTTGTGTCAGAAACACAATTTAGATATATATTTTTTTTTAAAATTTCAAAGATTAAAATTTTTTTCTGCTAATAAATAACTATTGATAGAACTTAAATTAGAATTAAAAACTGTAATTAATGAGAAATATCTGCTTTGATAAATGTATAATTATTTTATCAGAAGGCTTAGAAACCAATATGCATAACTTATACAAGTTTGAAAAGTTCTAAAAATTTCATCTACAACTTTTGTGTCACATGTCTACTGTGAATTTACTAATATTTTTGTTCCTTTAAGTACTTTTTGCAAAGCTCTTTGCTTGTTTCATATAAACAGCTTAGTTTTTAGCTATTTTAATTAGTTGTGTTTAGAAAATTATTCACAAAATTGAAATTTTTTTTCTCCTAAATATCTTAATTTGCTTACGTTGCTTTTCTTTAGAAACAAATATCTATAGCTCATACAATTTTGAAAAGTTTCAGAAATTTAGTTTACAATTTTGGTTTCACAAGTCTATTTTAAATTTACTAATTGTCTTGTTCCTTATAGTTCTTTTTGCAAGTATTATTCTTGTTCCATAATAATAGCATAATTTTTAGCTGTTTTGATTAGTTGTATTTAGAAAATTAGTCTTAAACAAATTAAGACATTTGTTTTCTTGAATATTTTAATTTGCTTACGTTGTTTCTGTTGAGAAAAAAAAATTTGTAACTCATGCAATTTTGCAAAGTTGCAGAAATTTAGTTTATATTTTTCGTGTCCCAAGTTCATTTTAAATTTACTAATTTATTTGCTCCCTTTAGTTCTTTTTAGAAGTGCTATTCTTGTTATCTAGTTCTAATCTTGTTTATCTATATTGGCTATTTGTATTTAGAAAATTGCTCTTAAACAAATTGAAATATTTATTTTCTTCTTCTCCTTTCAAATCCCCATTTCTAGCCTAGCTAGACAAGGTCCATGAGATTGTTCACCTTCAAGAAGTATAAAACAAGTAAGGGTCTTTCAATTAGGTCTTGTTTTAAAAGACCGAGGCAGTCCAGTAGATGTTCAGGGGATGCCTGGGCCGAAAAGCACTTGGTACAGAGGGCAAAGCACTTTTCTCCTCCAGAGTACCTCAGTGATTTCAGGTGTCCACAGCGGAGACGTGTGATGGCGGTTTGAGACTGACGGTTTATTTAGGAATTTATTTTCTTAAATGACTTAATTTACGTTGTTTTCGTTTTTTAAAAAAATTATTTTATAAACAAAGAGTTTCCAAATCATCCTTATAACAAATTTTTAGAATCTTTATTACAAATTAAAGCATTGTTAAAGATTTTGTTATTTTCTGATTGAAATATTTTTTGCGATATTCTAAGAACTATTTTTGACTTTATTTGTCTATTTATTTATTTTTTTTTCTCTCCATAGATTCTGAAAATATCTATCAAGGCTGCTCTTCAGCAGAAAAGAAATTCTACTTCCTCTATGTTTACTTACGAAGATTTATTGGAACACAATTTCTTTACTTATCAAGTAACTAATTTAATAACTATCTAATCACTATGATAACTTTCGAATATTTCAGTTTCACGCTTTTCATAGAAGTATTTTCTGTATGAACATAGTCTCTAGATTTTATGTTTTAATACAAGTATTTTTGAAACTTTAAATTTTTTTTAAAGTAACATTGAAAAATGTTTTTGAAATACATGCTACTTTACCATGCGTTATTACCGTATTTTATTGTTAATTTTACCAAAATCATTACCAAAGGGTTAGGGTAAAAATTACTGAGCATTTTAGTGTTCCCAAAGAGCCAGAAACACGCTAAATTTCATCATATTCTGGTAGTTTTGATCACATTTCTTTTCCTCAGCGCAGAAAATTGTCGGATAAGTAGGGGAATTTAGTGTAATTTTGCTGTTTGAAAAGAAAGATANTTCGATGACTTGTGATAAAATATACTACGAAAAAAAATACGACCTTTGTTACAAAGTAAATGTGAGATATGAGTAAAAGATTGTGCAAAAAAGTAAAGAGTTTGTCCAATAAAATGTAAATAAATAAATAAAATAAGAGGTTTTATTTTTATCTGTTTAAGATAGCTTAGGTTTATGAGAACAAATCGTTAAAATAAAAAAAAAAAATTCATCAAATATTTGAAAATTATAAATCAGTATTGGGGATACTGTATTGAAAAAAAAAATTAAATTCTTTTCGAATATTCTAGAAATTTTAAACAAAGAAGTACGAGATTTTTTTTGGACTAATAAGTATGCTTGTCCAAAGTATTTTTTCATTTTATATAGCAAGAATAGTATCATCAAACAATTTTAAAAATCATTTATACAGATTAGCCCTTTTACTCATTATTTTTATTATAAATATTGTTAATAATAATTTTCAATATTTCGTATTAATTTATATCAAAATATATGAAAAAATACTATATGTAACTTTTTGCTTACTTATGGATATGAAATACAGCATGAAATATTGGTGTCTTTTTGTCGGTTAAAGGGAAAAAAAGCGTCTCACTTTTAAACAATAATTTTTAAATATGCACTTATTTATGTGTGCAAATAAGGTCTAGTGATCTAAAAAAAAGTTATTCATTATTGAGTAACTTCTTATTCATAATTGAATAAATTCTTAAGAAGTTATCCAATTTACAAATTCGTTAATTGATAAATATTTGAATATCTACTTATTAGGCGTCTGCCTAATTACAATCTGCGTCAAAGGGTCAATTATAAAGCGATTAAATTTAGTAAATTATTTACAGAAATCAGCAAATTTTAACAAGACGGCTGTAAATAAGTAATTTCGAATTAATTATAAGTAATAGATATCGATATAAATATTTTACTTTGTAAAACCAATAGATATAAAATTTGTATATAAAATTTTGGCAGAAAATACTAGCACTCAGGATACCGGTACTTTTTACCCGTAAAATTTTACAGAACAAAAAAAATCTGATATATCATAATTTTTATTGTAATATTTGATGGTAAAAGATTACCTTTATTTAGAAACGTTGAGTCCTAAGTGATTAAAGTTGTAACTGAATTAATTTTAGTACTTGAATATCCATAAGTTTTTAATATAAGTAGAAAAAGTTAGTTCTTTTTAGAAGTGCTATTCTTGTTTATCTATATTGGCTAGTTGTATTTAGAAAATTATTCACAAAATTGAAAATGTTTTTCCCCTAAATATCTTAATTTGCTTACGTTGCTTTTGTTTAGAAGCAAATATCTATAACTCATAAAATTTTGAAAAGTTTCAGAAATTTAGTTTACAATTTTGGTTTCACACGTCTATTTTAAATTTACTAATTTTTTTTGTTCCCTATAGTTCTTTTTGCAAGTGTTATTCTTGTTCCATATTAACAGCATAATTTTTAGCTGTTTTGATTAGTTGTATTTAGAAAATTAGTCTTAAACAAATTAAGACATTTATTTTCTTAAATGTTTTAACTTGTTTACGTTGTTTTTGTTGAGAAATAAAGATGTATAACTCATACAATTTTGCAAAGTTCCAGAAATTTAGTTTATATTTTTCGTGTCCCACGTTCATTTTAAATTTACTAATCTATTTACTCCCTTTAGTTCTTTTTAGAAGTGCTATTTTTTTATCTAGTGCCAATCTTGTTTATCTATATTGGCTAGTTGGTTTTAGAAAATTGTTCTTAAACAAATTAAAATATTTATTTTCTTAAATGTTTTAATTTACGTTGTTTTCGTTTTTAACAAAAAAATTATTTTATAAACAAAGAGTTTCCAAATCATCCCTATAACAAATTTTTATAATCTTTATTACAAATTAAAGCATTGATAAAGATTTTGTTATTTTCTGATTGAAATATTTTTTGCGATATTCTAAGAATTATTTTAGTCTTTATGTGTCTATTTATTTATTTTTTTCTCCATAGATTCTGAAAATATATATCAAGGCTGCTCTTTAGGTAGAATAGAAATTCTACTTCCTCTATGTTTACTTACGAAGATTTATGGGAACATAATTTCTTTACTTATGAAGTAACTAATTTAATAACCACCTAATCACTATGATAACTTTCGAATATTCCAGTTTCACGTTTTTCATAGAAGTATTTTCTGTATGTTTCCAGTTCCAGATTTTATGTTTCCAGATTTTATGTTTTAATGCAAGTATTTTTAAAACTCTTTAAATTTTTTAAAAGTAATATTGAAAAATGTTTTTGAAATAGATGCTACCTTACCATGCGTACACATTACAGTATTTTATCATTACAGTATTTTATTGTCAATTTTACCAAAATCATTACCAAAGCGTTAGGGTAAAAATTACTGAGCACTTTGGTGTTCCCATAGAGCTAGAAACAAGCTAAATGTTATCAGATTCTGGTAGTTTTGATCACATTTTTTTCTCAGTGCAGAAAATTGTCCGATCAGTAGGGGAATTTAGTGTAATTTTGCCGTTTGAAAAGAAAGATACACCTGAGATATTTATTTTAAATTAATATATTTCACAGAAACACATTTTAAATGACCATATTTTACAAAAACATATTTTTAAGGAACATGCTATCAATGTCTTTTCTACACAAATATATTATATAAATGAAAATATACATATAAAATTGAAGAAAATAGTAAACTTTAAAGATGATAGTGTTCTATGTTCCTTTATAACAGGTGAAGTCCTTTATAACAGGAGTTATAATTAACTATTGTTTTCTCGGGGCAAAGCTTTGCACCAAACACCCTTCTTTGGACATGTTCCTAAAGTTGGCGTCACAAGGGTGATGTTTTCTTCAGTTTTCTCACACGGCACGAATTTAAATTTCTTTATGAGTTTAAACACAGCCAATTTCGCTTCGAGTTGTGCAAATCTGGATCCAATGCAGTTTCTGGGACCTTCGCCAAATGGCTGGAAAGACATGCTCTTTATGTGTTTCTTGTTTTCTGGGGAAAATCTGTCTGGATCAAACTTCCACGGATCCGGGTATAACTCTGGGTCATGTTGAAGGTCCCAAACGGGTATCAACACTGCGGATCCTTTAGGGAATGTGCAGGGTCCAGCGTCATAGTCTTGTTTGCACTCTCTGGTTACGAATCCAGTTATGGGAGGATATATTCGCAAGGATTCATTGAAGACTTGATCTAAATACCGGTGCTCTGAAGAAACAAAAAATATATATATTAAGATAGTCGCGAATTTTAATCGTAATAGAAATAAAAATATGTTAACGTTTTTTAAATGAATAGCACAAATTGAGAAAGTAACACAAGTAAAGACAACACAAATTAAGAAAGTAGCAGAAGTTAGTTAACTGCAATTTTTATGCTACATTCAGCTAAATAAAATATTTCTTATCAAAATTTTTATATGATAATAAAGTAAGCAAGCTACAAGTACAGGGTCTTTATAATTAAAGTTCCACTTTGAAATGGCTATAAAAATAAAACTACCCGACCAAATGTCATCAAACTTGGTAAATGTCTATAAAAGGTCATGGAGTTTTAGTTCCCGCAAAAAAAAAAAAAATAAATAAATAAATAAATTAATAGTTCAAAAATTTACCACAAGCGGAGAATGGCGCTGTATGCAATAGTGTTAAACAAATGTGAAATATGCAAATTTGTTTTACACGTCATGTGACAAATATTGTGTTTNCAAACTGTCAATCTCCAGCTACTACAAGCTAACCAGGACATTTTTGGTTCAAAAAAGAATTGATGGCTCCGAAACTTTATAAGTTTGGCGACAACTGATCTACGCAGTTCATTTGCAGTAAACCAAATGGATTATCCACAGAAAATCAGATTGTAACCACGATGCAAAAATTATAAATAACGGAGTATATGACCATATGTTTTGTTCCATACAAAAATCTCATATTTTTAATGTTAAATTTAAGAAATCAGTATTAAATTTGGAACTAAAATTGATACTGCAGAATATAAGAAAGGTTAGAATTTTTCTATGCTATGCGCTTGTTTGGATTGTCTGTTCTATAAAAGATTCTGAAAGAAAGCGAAATCTAAAAAAGGTTCCAAAAATAAGTCCAAAAAGAGCATGCAATATATATATATATATATAAATGGAGAACTTCTGTTCTCTAATTACCTTGAACTGTGGTGTAGCTCGCATCGGGAGCTCCATCGATTTCTTCAAAGAGGCGTTGTTGGACATCTTGGTGTTTTACTAACAAGTAAAGCATGAATGCTAAGGCAGTGGAAGTTGTTTCGTATCCTGCTATGAGTACTAAATGTGCATTTGCTATCACTTCAATTGTAGACAACTTTGTACTGCTGCTTTTCTCTATATGTGAAGATAAACAACGTATCAGTCATACATTCAACTATCCAGAACAGTTTTAAAATATTGATTAAAAGACTTCATTTAAATCTATAAAATTTTCATTCTCTGCTATCATAGAGAATTTTTAAGGAGAATTTTGGTAAGCATTATTTTTTTTAATTACATTAAAAAATGTTTTAAAGTGAAACGCTTTAGATGTGGATGAATGTGAGATTTTGCTGTTCTCTTACTAATTCAGTTCTGGTGATTCGTCAATGGAGAGTATTTACAGATGGCACGGGCATGAAGAAACTGCGCTAGAAGTTTGAGCTTCGTTTTACATTTCCAAGCTTAGGAAGCCAACGAGAGAGGTTTTTTAATTTCTTTTACAAGTGGTGAAGGGAGAGATTACATGCGTGTATTTTTGTCAAGAAATAAAAATATTTCTCTAGATGATTTATTGTAAATATTGATGCGTAAGAGTCCAAAGCTTGCATCCATTTTTGATATCAGAATTTAGAAGGAGGTTTTTTTTATTTCTATTTTTCGTATGGAGAATTGAATTTTTTAATTGAATTTCTTACCTATGGCAGATTTAGTCGACAATAGCTCTTTACCTTTTAAAAACAATGTAGTAGGTATCGGTGAAGTGCATAAATTATAATATAACATCTTATAGTAAATGCAATAAAAATGCACATTAATTTAATTGCCTCTAATATACACTTGCCAGTCATTCCCAACAATAATTTTTTTAAAGTTAATTGATATTGCACCATGCAGTTAATCGACATTCTAAAGTTAATTGGCATTGAATCAACTGTTAATTCACCAGGTAATTTCTGCGCTGAAGGTTTTTTTTTTTTTAACGGTAGGTTTTTTTGGACTATTACCCGGTTTTCCTTAGACTGATATTTTTTTCCTGATAACACTTCAGTGTAATATTTAAAGTCGCATTCGAGAAATATAAATGAAATTAAGTAGTTCTGCACTTAAGGAAAACATTAATTAACAAAATTGGAGAATTGAAACGCTTTTGAGGACATTTTGCTATTAGAAAATAAAGGTTTCATTTCCAATTTTTAAATTCTGAAATCGAAAATAAATTTAGTTGCTTTTCTAGTTCTCGACCAGTAGAAAAAACCGAAAAATCCGTTTACATAGGGATATGAATTCGTATTTGAAAGGGTATTTAAAACTTTAATTTCATGTGATTCGCCTGAGATTTTATGACAAATAAGACCCTTTCTTTTTCTTGTAGAAGCTGGATACCTGTGGGTTCGGTTAATATACAATTTCATCTGCAAAGCTTAACCAATCGGTTTTCTTCATGCACTCTATCCCCCCACTCTATAACTCCTTCCAACATATATAGAAACATACATAACTTGACATTCAAACATAATCATAATATTTTTTCATTTTTGCCACTTGTTGCCTAACAAAGACAACATGAATCAACGTTGATAAAAGCTAAGCGTTTTTACTTGCTGTAGCATACTACTTGCGAAGAAAAATTTCCCATCTTTATACTACAACGCAGATCTGACGTTAACGGGCTCTTTCTTTATAACAATAACCATATTAAACAAACTCTGAAGATGAACTTATTGGGTCTCGTGTAGCTTAACTACTCAACGAAAAAAAACGTTTGCAAGTTTTGTGTATAAAAATGTTATTTTTTAGCTAGTTTTTAAATTTTTAAATTAAACGTAAACTGTTAAGAAAAAGTAATCTTTTTTTACCGTCTTTATTTATTACCATAGATATGCAAATCATCAAAAAATAATTAATCGAAAACGACGTACATTTAAGGTTTTTTTTCGAAATCGACAAACAGTTTGGTAAAGATACTTTTGAAAACGAACCAAACTAGAACATAACTTTCCAAGTAAATAAATAAAAAATAATTAATTAAATACAGTGAGCATTAGCGATGTTATTTTCCTCTATCATCGTCGGTGCGAAGAAGAATTGTAAATTGATCACAACAAAATACCTAATAAGTTTTGAAGTTTTCCTAAATGTCCTGGAAAAGAAAAGCATTGACCTACCTTCGTCACTAATGTCCAACATAAGTTGAAGTACGTCCATACTCCTTAATTCNTAGGCTGGTCTTTCCTCTATGAGAATATCTTTTTATATTTCTGTATTTTGGCCGCTGAGGGCCCTTAATATTTTCATAATTGCTTTGTTTATTTTTTTAAATATTAATAAATATATTTTGTTGCTGTTACGCTTGGATATATTTCAAAAGTAATAATCGTCATGACACCATAGATATGCAAATCATCAAAAAATAATTAATCGAAAACGACATACATTTCAGGTTTTTTCGAAATCGACAATCAGTTTGGTATAGATACTTTTGAAAACGAACCAAAAAAAAAAAAATAACGAACTTTCCAAAAAAATAAATAAATAATAATTAATTAAATGATAATTAATTAAATACAGTGAGCATTAGCAATGTTATTTTCCTCTATCATCGTCGGTGCGAGGAAGAATTGTAAATTGATCTCAACAAAATACCTAATAAGTTTTGAAGTTTTCTTAAATGCCCTGGAAAACAAAAGCATTGACCTACCTTCGTCACTGATGTCCAACATAAGTTGAAGTACGTCCATACTCCTTAATTCAGGATTCTTCCTTCTTTCACTAATGACCTTATCCAGGTTTCCAAGGATGAGGGAATTCATTTGACTATGATTGCCCAAATTGTTAACCAGGAATGTAAAAATAGTTTCCAAAATTGGGAACATAACGCCAAGAGTGATGGCCGGGGAATGAGCTTCATGAATAAATGACCGCATCTAAAAAAAATTTAGCTTAACTATTATGCGACTTTTGATTCAGATTGTTAAGCAATGATCTCCATTAACGCATGTTAAGCAATATTCCATTAAGTTATGTTCTCCATTAAGTGTAAAAAATTACGTTACCGGCACTTTGGGCGCATCTTCCGTAAATATCCATTTTACTGTAAAGCTTGCAGCAATATTTATTTAGTTAAAGTGATTCAGTGATTTTACGGTGATTATCATTGGAAAATAACGGTATATCAGAATTTTGTTCCGTAACATTATCCGGTAAAAATAGATTTTACGGTAAACTGCACCGGCACTCTATGTATCTTTTTTCGACAGTAAATTGATCCTGAATTTTTTACAATGTAGAATCCATCTCAGTTCTTAAAAATATAAATAATCCTTTTAAATAAATAAAGTTACTCATTCTTTAAAGAAGTAAAAAGCAAAAACTTTATCGAAATCTAAGGAATCACCACAGAAAAAGACTAAAATCTTTAAAAAAATGAAAAAGAGATGAAAAGTGAATTTCAGAAAAACCATCAATTTTCATCAAGCAATCGCACTGGTTTTTGAAGTTTTTCCTCCCGCCTTTCACAAAAGTGATTCCAAAAAATTCCAATAGCGTTTTTGTATCTTTATAGTTCAAATGGTAATATGCGATCCTGTTACATGCATTGATCTTATTGTTGACAAATATTCTATATGCATGTATTAAAGTTGTTGATTGCAGGACATTCTGAATATGCAATTCTATTTTTTGCTTTAATTTTGAAAATTTAAAACAGCTGAATTTTAAAAAAAGTGTCATTTCGGTTGTTGAGAAGTTTTTAAAACAAAATTAACCGTAAACAATAAATCTTATTCTACTACCTTTCTATAAAACGAATTCTCATTTGTAAAAATTGTGTTTATCTTGCAAATGATTTGGTGAGTTAGAACATTAAGTATGACAAACTCTTAATTCAAATGTTCATATAATGCTAGATTGTTCAAAATCAATTACAATAATTCAATTTATATTTCATTTATTTATTTAGATCTACTAAATATGCCCTAGCATGCCGTATATACTAGAAAATTTAAATTTTAAACATTGGTGATAATTGGTAATTGGTAACATTGCTACAAGGTAGGCGTGTTCACATCACTTCCGGGTCACCAATATGGGGATAGTTGTTATCGACAATGTCAGCCTTCATATATGAAAAGGTACCCCACCATAAAATCGAGTTAACATGTCTCATATACTAGTGAATTGGAATTACATTTTTGTAGTGGTAGATACGCTACAGTACTCCCCCACCAGAATTATATGTGTGATAGAATTCGATGAACGGATGAAACTAGTTGATTTAATGCTGTTTCGTGAGAAGCGGGGAGAGCTGTATTAAGATCACCGTACTTTTTGAGCGCAGATCGTGAGAGCTGTATTAAGTTCACGGTCGTGGTTGCTCCTGTGTTGCCATTAGCAGTCGAGTGAATAGGTTGTGCGTAATTTGTGATCGAAACTGAGTAGCAATAAGCACGAGGAGGTGCATAATGTCACAGTCACAAGTAGCAAGTCAACTGTTCAATGTGGACCATCCATCGAAGTAGGCACGTTCAAATCGTAATGGGCGTTTCTGCCAAGGTGAGCGTGTTCACATCACGTCCGGGTCACCAATGGGGGGAGGGAGCAGATATCGACAATGACAACCCTCATCTATGAAAATTTACCCCACCATAAAATAGAGTTAACATGTCTTATATACTAGTGAATTGGAATTACATTTTTGTAGTGGTAGATACGCTACAGTCACGATTTCAATGATTCATCGAATGAAATAATTTCGAATTAAAATAATATAATTTGTAGATGACTCACTGCACACATCATTGGATCGTTATGATTTTCCAAGCCACGAGTCTTCATAGCCAGAGCACAGGAAGAAATCGTGTCCATCGTCAGCCCTTGAAATATTTTGTAAATGTCAAAAATTTCGTTATTTTGCACTTTTTTGCTTACAATATCGACTGCAATATCAACCTGAGAATAAAAAATAAACAATATAATTTTCAACATTTAAAATAAAAGTAAAATGAAAACATTCAACAGAGACATTTTGAATATATAAATTCCAAATTCTATGTTGATATTTTTCGAATACTGAGGCTAATAACATTAGGTCCACACATGTGGACCTCAGGTTTTAACTAAGTAACAGGTTTTAACTATATTGTGGTCTATTTAAATACAATGGTGTATTGATTTAATAATTATTTAGAATTTTTTTAAAAAATAAGAAGTTTTCTTACAATGAGATTCAATACTTGATGCAATACCAATGCATTACTGCATGAAGTCTCAGTTTAAAAATTATTTTAACTATACAAATGATGCAAAATAAATAATTATTAAAAATAATCTAACTTTAACTATAAAAAAAATATTTAATTCTTGGAGGTAAAATTTCAAAATTAGGAAAAAAGTTAAAGTTATTAAATATGTGTATTACATGCATTAATATAAAACAATTAATTAAAATACAAGGATATAATATATTATAATGATATAAAATTGAATCCCTATAATACTATGAGAATTCATTTGACTACTACGCTCTCATAAATTGTCCTTACGTATATGCGTAGACATGTAATTGCCTCATAAATTGTCCCATAAATTGTTCTTACGGACATGCGTAGACCTGCATTTTCTTGAATTTTTTAAATAATTAAGCAAATATAAATTTAAGCCGTTCATATAGATCGCATAACTACTAAGTCAAAATAAAAAAAATATTTTCAGAATAACTGAAATATATAGTATTTAAAATTAGTTACATTTTCAAGCACGTGAACTTAGCGTCAATTTTCAAAAATCACTTTTGTTTATGTGGATTTCTAACTAAATAACTTACATGCCCCGCGGCAAAATCACAGTGGCACGGCGAAATTGTCCCAGAACGTTACAGAGTTCTTGTAGAAAGATTTTTCTTTCGAAAAGCAAAAAATTTTACTTTTCGTTTCTACAGAAAATTACATGAAATATTTGAATCATGCATTTAGATAATTACTTTTTGACTCTCTCAATTTAAGCCGATAGTATCGTAAATCGATGTAGAATTTCGATTGTATTTTCAGCAGTTATTGATATTGACTTTATGCTGTTTTTAAATGTCCCGAGGTATTTCAAACAATATGGAACATTCGAATCGTGCATTTGAGTATTTACTTTTTAAGGCAATAATTCTATCGAATTTTTGGCAGTTATTTCTAATTTCTCCATAGTTTTTAATTCTGATATTTTTGTACGATATTATTTATTCTCGAAACGGAACATGCATTTGAGGATTCCGATTCGCATGTTTTCCTCGTCGATCTTTTTTTCGGCAATTACTTCTACGGATTTCATGATTTTTTATTGCAAAATGAGAAGGAAATAATTTGTGCGCCCCTCCTTCCCAACAAAATGCATCCATAAAATTAGAATAAAAAATTATTAAATGTTCAATTAAAAAAGAATATTATTGTTTTTTTTGTAAACATAGCGCTTTTGTTCTTTTAAATTAGTAACATAGATGTTATTGACGTATGCCTGTTAAATCAGAGGGGTGCGATTGTTCTTGCTTTCCAGTTGCGCCATCTATGGCCAAGAATTCGACTTCTGCCACGCCTATACGTCACACCCGTTTATAGGGCGGACCCATTCATACATCTACAGATCGTAATTTTGACCTGAATCAGAGAACGATCAATCTCCAATTCAGTACCCCTAAAGGTATTAATTTGCTATGGGAACATGGAGGACTTTGCAACTCTACAGATTTTACGTGCATCAGTCACCATTTTACAACACGGGGAGTTTTCGGTCTGCGGCTTTCGAACCCACGAGCTCTCGGACATGCGCCCAGCGCCCTACCGACCATGCTATCCCGGCTGTAACATAGATGGTTGTTATTATTAAAAGTATCTAGCAGAAAGATATTAGTGCTAGAGAGTTTTGTCGCAGAGAGCTTAAACGTCCACGAATGTTTCAGCGAAGGTAAAACTAGGGGAGAGTGGGGTCAATTGTAACAGGGTACGATTGTAACAGAACAAAAATTTCGAGTGTCGGGTTCTAGATTTGGTTCCTAGGTGGCGCACAAGGTGTTTTTAATAAATCTACATGTACACCCCTGCTGGCAACCATTTTTATGTACTTTTGAAAGAGTTACATCACAAAAGATATTTTCACGCTACGTAAGTACTTTTTTTGGTATTAGAATATTATATTGTAACAAAGTAATTTTGTTTAAACAAATAAAAATTATTAACCGAATATGTAAGTGGACACCTTAATTAACATTTCAATAAAAAAAAAATTAGTTTTGCCAATTAACTAGCATTGTTTTTAACAAATGAAGCTGAAATGGCGTCTTGGGGACAATTGTAACAATAAGTAAAGGGACGATTGTAACAGCTGAAAATAAATAATCTTATGTTTACAAACCATTACTTAACTCTTTAAGAACCACCAATAGTTTCCTATATCATTTATATTATGTTGCATGTGCATTATTTTATTTGTCACCTTTCACAGCATAAATTAAAATTTTTAACCCCTTAAAGTTAAAAGTTTAACCCTTTAGGTCTCTGCTCATTATTATTTTTACTCCTAAAATATCACTACTATTTTGATCAATAAAAAAATATATCACAACTATGATAATATGTATAATTAACTATGTTTTAGTTGAATTTATGAACTGTTACAATTGACCCCGTAAGTGGGGACAATTGTAACAAGTGCACGACTGTCAAAAATTGTTAATAACTAATATAATAACATTTAAAATAAGGTATTTATTTTTTTTCTAGTAGAGGATAGTCTACTTTACTCGTCTGTCAATTAATACTAATAATATATTGGATTTTTTGTTAGTTAAAAATAGTTAAGTAAAAAATTTTACAATTGACCCCAATCTCCCCTATAGTTTCTTATCGTGTGTTTTTAGAAGCTAAGAAGTAAAGGTCCTCCAAATCTGGACCAAAGTAATGAAGAGGCTAAATTGTTCACGTATTTAGATTTCCTGTGTCCTAATCATTAGCTGGGGTAATCGGGAATATGTTGTACATTTTGAAAACTTTCCATGAAATCCAGAATGTAAATTTTTGTGATCATTCACTTACTTTTTTCTCGAAAATACTCTTCATAAGCTTTAGTTTGCTGGTACTGAATACGGGCGAAAGAATGGAACGCACTTCTTTCCATCGGATATCATCCAAGGCAATTAATGAATGGTCAAAAGGCTTAATATTCATGTACAATTTTGGTCGATTGCTGAACAGCTGAAAGTCTTTAATCATTATCTGAAAGAAAATATTTACATTATTTAAGAAGGCGTTTAACTTTTTAATTTTTTATGAGCAGGGCAAAGTTTAAAAAAGGAAACTATATCCACTGCTTTATCAAAGAAAATCTCATTCACTACATTGAGAAAAAAAGTATGGTCACCACTACTAGAATATGGTAAAATGTATCCTGTTTCTTGCTACATGGTAACATCAAAAAGCTCAATACTTTTTATCAAAGTGCTTTGGTAACCAATAAAACATGATTCTATATTATGTGATACAATGCAGTTACAATTGTTGATTTTGTCATTTTGCCTCAGAGCACAGCACAAAAATCATTTATTCAGTGAAATTTACTTTTCTGTTTTTGTCATTTTGCCCCAGAGCACAGCACAAAAATTGTTTATTCAGTGAAATTTACTTTTCTGTTTTGAATGTTTTACTAAATGTGTGGAAATAAGAACTATAATTTTGAGAACCAGAATATTTCTGGTAAGCCTTTATGAATGAAAAAATTACCAAATAAATTTTTTTTTACCAGAAATACCAATCATTACTGTACATTAGGGTAACTTACCACACTTTTTTCTCCAAACAGCGACGCTGAAAAACATCTAACACTAAAAAAAACTCAACAAGTCAACAGAAATTTCTTTCTAAACTCCTTACTGATTCAAAAAATACGTCCCGCAGTGGACTGATCGTTAAGACACGGTTCCCAGCAGATCACCGAAGTCAAGCATCACTGGCTGTGGTCAGTGAGCGGATAGGTGACCACTTGGATCAGTCTGCGCAGGGACCGAGGGTGTGCGGTATTGGTCCTCGTTAAATTGTTCTACCGTAAAGTGCTCGACTTCGCGTGCAGTTCGCTGGGCTACCGAAGCTGAGGTGCCATCCCCTCTGCAGAGGATCAACATTTTGAGGGCATGTCTTCGGATCATCCTCAGGAATGTTTTTCAAACCGTCGCCAATAGCCCATTGTGCAGCTCTAATGAACTACAACTTCAACAACGATTCAAAAAATACTGAGAATGAATAAAGAAAACTTAATAGTCGTGCATGTTCTGAGCTGTATGTTCAATCAAAATTCCAAAAGTGCACAATACAATAATGCATTGAATTGCATGAATCTTATAAAAGTAGAAACAAAAATGTTTCATTAAAATTTATGAAAATATGAATACATTTAAATGAAACGATTAGAAAATCCATACAACAAAATTGTTTAATAATCCATATTGAACAATTGTTCTCGATGAGAAAAAATTATTACTTACTTTTTTGATAACGTCCAAATCATTTACAACAATGTATGGCACTTCTCCCATATAATAGCCAAAAATATCACCATACTTTTTCCTCCATGTTTCCATAAGTTTGTGTGGTGTGTTTTCTTTTCTTAAGGCGAACATGTGACCATCGAAGAAATTCGGTTTTGGCCCTGGAATTCCATACTGCTTTAAAACTTGATGTTTTCGGTACCTTTTTACAGCCCAACGTACTATTATAAAGAATATTGAACTGAGAACAATTAATAAAAGGGTTGATGTTGATTCCGCCATTTTACTTCAAGATAGGTAGTACGTGTAGGTTGAAAAATATACTAACTTCAGCAAGGAAATTCACTCGTTTAATAGTGTTGTTATTATCGATGAATTTATCTTTTTTTTCCGCCAAAGATCTATTATTTATTGTCCTTGTCCATCAAAAATGATTTGATACTTTTTTATCAAGGGTTTTGATCAAATAAAAAGATAAAAATTAGTTTTTCATATCACTTATCAGTTTATCATTCATTCAAGAAGGCGTATTGAAAAAAGATTAAATTTGTCCGATTTCAAAAGTTTATTTTAGTGTAACAAAAATATTAGTTTAATCATCTTTTTTATAAAAGAGTAACACGTTCAAACATAAATTGCTATAACTTCCTTGAAATCAAAGGGTTATGGTCATGGCGTTGCTGAAAATAGCACTCAAGGATAATTGGTCTTATTATGAAAATATGATTTAGCACTTACATCAAGGGTCAAGGACACACTCTGTATTGTTGTCATTATTGTTGCTACTGTTCGTTTTTAGTTGTCACTTTCGATTCTGGTTGTTGCGTATTTCCTATTTGTTTCTATCATTTTGATTTTATTTTAATATGAATAGAAATAACTATATTTATGCTTCATATGGCTAGTTTGAATATCAGGCGTGATACTATAAGAAGAGAGTAAAAAATTCCGGATCAAACTACAGAATAAATTACAGGCACTTAGAGTGCATCATCTGTAAAATCCATTTTTACAATCCATTTTTACAATTAAATATTTTACCATTATTTTTACAGTAATATTTATTTAATTAGAGTGATTCAGGGATTTTACGGTAATTATTACTGAGAAAATTACGACATATGAGACTTTTTTGTTTCGTTACATTTTCTGGTAAAAATGGAATTTACGGTAAAAAGTATAAGCATCGTGAGTACCGGTACCGTTTACGGTAATTTGATGAGGAATTTTTTATAGTGAAGGTTTGAAACAATGCTATAAACTTTTGTGATCAAAAAGCAAAACTCGGGTAAATAATTGTGCATATAACTCAACGTACTAAACGAGCTGTAAAAATAACTGGAGTTTCTATTACAACCATTAAAATATATTCGCCTAGATGAATAAAATACTTGTTTTATTTCCCCAAAATGATTCCTGATAAAATATTGATGGGCGATATGCATCCTCACTAATACAAATTTCTCCTAATGCTTGATCCAGGAGTTCTCTTGTCTTCTGGATTAGGTTCAAAATTACAAGGTTTTGGAGCTGAAAATTAGTAGATGTAAATTCAAAATTGGGTAGGTTTTTCAATGTCGGTAATAAAATAAAATAAAGTAAAATTTGCTTCAGGGGATGGAGCGTTCTCCTTCGAATGAGGAGATCTAGGTTCGAATCCCTTCAATGATGACTGGTTGATGCGAATTCTGCTTCCGGGTCACACCGGCCAAAGTGCTGACGTATAAATATCCTTAGGGGTGTATGGAAAATGGGTTTGAATCTTCTTGTCATCGGGCTAACCGTGGGGTGTTTTTCTTCTGCTTGGTACGCAAACGCGGGTTAATTCCTTAAAAAAGTTCTCCACGAAAACTAGTTTCTTCCTATGTTTGATCCAGATGTTCCCTTGCTTTCTGGGTAGGGCTACGGAGTTGAACAGAGACAGTCGTCAATACAGAATTGGGTTGGATGCTCAATACCTTTTATAAAATAAAATTTGCTTCCAAAATTTAAAAGAGTACAAATGCTCAGTTGAATTACTTAAAAAATATTTTTGAAATTTTTTGCTGGAAGAAAATACAGCACAGAGGCATTTTATAAAACTTCAATATTTTCCCCAAACAAGTTTAAATAAGTAGAGTGAAATCAAGTAATACTCAAAACCGACGCTGGAAAAAAAGTTTACCTACAATCCTTTCTCACCTTTGCATTATGACAATATACAGTATGTTAAGAATAATCCTAAGAAATTGAAGCCGTAAGATATACCTCCCAGTGTAAAAATTTCAAAAAATAAGGTTGAAAATCTTTTTATTGAAATCTGTTTTGTTTTCATTAATTACGCGTTGGTGAGTCTTGATAATAAGAACTTTTTGAGTTTGAATCATGTCGACTCTTACACCTTAATTTTTGAAGCGACGTAATGAAGACTTTCCATTGGCAAGTCTATAGTAGATTGCCATCATTGTTTATACGCTGTCAACAAATGTAAATCGCTGCACAGAAGGGGAAAAAAATTCAAGTTGTGAAAGAAAGGGTTAAAGAGTAGAGCCGTGTAAAATAGTACGGTAAGAATGATTGTAAGAATCACCTATACTAAAGGGATTGCTGAATTAAAAGGACAATTCAGCGGTTGCATGAATGAGACCATTCCAGGGTGTGTTCATGAACTGTACTGGAAGTAATTAGACTGGTTCGAAAAGTGATATATTGGTCGCTTTTGCAAAATTTATACAGGGTGGTCACACTCTAAAAAAAAAAAAAANTGTCTCAAAAAAAAAAAAAAAGAAATATAATGAATGTTTGATGAGGTTATCGAATATTTCATAAGCTTTCATAAGATATTTCTTAGATAGCATTAACAATTAACTATTTTTTTCACTTATCTGGAAAGTTGACAATAAATAAATACAGATAAAAAGTTATACAACAGTTGTTTTAAGTTGCAGAAAAAGATTTTCATTCATGATGATTTATTTTTCAGATATTACCGTTTTACGGCATATGTCCATTTTTAAATATTAGAAAAAATTAAGTTACTCAAAGTTTTAAGGATGCAATTCTAAAGTTCACCACAAAAACTTTGAACACGACCATCTTTTCAAACTACGTCTTTTCATCTAAGGTGTAAATAGTAAATTAATACAAAGAATGTAATAGAAATTTTTTTTTTATTCATACAAAATACATTGTAATGTTTATTTAAAATCCCCTTCAGAAACTACACTGTAAAAAGTTCTAGATCGAATTACGATTAAAAGTACTAGCACTCAGAGTGCCCGTTTTCTTTTTGTTTTTTTAATCTTTTTTTTAAACCGAAAATCCATTTTTACCGGAACAGGGTAAGGAACAAAAAATCTCTATAATAATTACCGTACCGTAATTTCTCTATTAATAATTACCGTAAATTCACTGAATCACTGTAATTAAATAAATATTAATGTAAAAATTACAGTATAATATTTTAGGTAAGGGGCGCAATGTAGATCTACCTCCTCGTGGTGCACCCCGGGCAACGTTTTTAGGGCAAAATGATCTACAGTTTTGGCAGGTTCCCTAGAGGTTGCTGTGCAGGCAATCGCTTGGTTTTACTGAATATATTGCAATGGAATGCTGGTGGCGTGTCCCAATCAAAAAGTTTTTTTTTATCTTGGAGACTTTTTATGCAAGAAAAATACTTCTCCGAATGTAGTACAGAAGTGTTATGCCCATGAGACAATTCATATGAAATACCCAGATCCTGAGTGTCTTTATATACAGATGGCTCCTTCTTTGATGATTATATGATTGCAGGGGCAGGAGTTTCTCCAAGTCTATTTTCCTTTGACGCTTCTGTCGGGAAATACAGAACAGCCTTTGACGGAGAGGTGGAGGCCATTCGTATTGCACTAAAGCAGTTACTGATCTTTGAAGATAAAATTTCAAGAGTGGTTCTGCTCACTGATTCTCAAGCAGCAATTCTGGTCATAAGTTCAAATAGCGCTCCTGCATCGAACGAAATCTCTCAATGTCGGGATTACTTGCAGAGGTTGGCCTTAAAGAAGAAGCATGTAGCACTCCAGTGGATTCCTGGCCACTCTGGATTTCATGGAAACGAGCAGGCTGATTTCTTAGCGAAGAAGGGCTCGAGATTGCTTCAGTCAAGATATTCAAAAATATCATATCATTCTATAAAGCTGTATATTAAACAGATTATGACAAAAAAATTTAAAGTTCAACTACTTGACCGTTTGCAGTCAAAGCGGTGAGTTTATAGCCATTACCGATTCTCCACGTCGAGAAGCTGTTGCAAAATTCCATCTTTTGACCGGACATGACTGTTTAGGAAAACATCTCCATCGCATTGGGATTTTTCACCATTCAAACTGCCCCCTATGTAATATGACACAGCCTATGAATAGAGACCACCTCCAACATTGCTCATCACTCCATGGCGACTCTGAGACGGTACTGTATTGGCGTGCAAGAGAACTTTTAATGAGGCAATCACTTCCGTCAATTTCTTTTATGTCATCTGTTTTACTCTAAGTTTGTTGTTTTAATTATTTCTTTGTATTGCCTTGCCATTAGAAAAAAAATATTTTAGGTAAAATGGATTTTACGGATGATGCACTTTAAGTGCCGGTACTTACCACCTCAATTTCATCCAGAATTTTTTACAGTATAACGTTTTTGAATGGACCTTTGTAAAATAATTTTCTAAATATAGTTTCTAACCCTGGAAAATAGTGAATTTATGATTTTCGAAAATAGCTTTTGTGTTATTAAAATTATATTAGAATAAAAAAATAATAAAATATAATAATGCATAGTAATAAATTATGTAGGCTTTAGTTTTGTCTGACATCAAATGTTTATAAACCAAAGTATTATAATTACTTCCTAAATATTGCTTTTCTGATTTAAAGAAATAGTCTTTAATAACAGAAGTATCATTATAGCATTCTATTTATTAGTGTTTGTTGGAAAAATTCAAAACATTAATAAAGTGAGTAACAGTGTTACTTTCTAATTTCTATTTTCCTGAAATAAAACTTATGACATTGATAAATAACACAATATCGTTGCTTCCTAATTGCTATATAATAATTATAGTAATTGCTATACAATAATTATAATAAATACTTGCTATATACATATAAAGATGACGTCTTTAGTAACAAGAGTAACAATGTTTTTACCCAATTTTCATTTTTCAAAATTAAAGATTGTGTAATTGATAAGAACAACGAAGATTCTTTCTCATAACTATTTTCACAGTTAAATTTCTAATCAGAAATAATAATTTTATTTCCAGATAGTTAGTTTCCCGGAAATAAAATTTAAGTCATTAATAACACGAGTATAAGTTAATGATAAGTAGATATTATTAGAGAGATAAGATTCATATTTGTTAGTTTCCAGAGGTAATGTTCAAGTCATCTATACATAATAATAAACGCGGCTGTGTGTGTGTGTGTGTGTGTGTCTGTAATCACAATATATCGCCCCAGAAGCCTCGCCCGGGCACGAAACTCGGCCCATAATTGTGTTTTGACATAATGAAGAAGTATTTTTTTTCTTTTTCAAAAATTTTGATTAGTTATTTAGTTATCAGTCATTTTGTAAGTCTATGCTTTTCGTCTGCTTTTTCGTCTTCNTTCCTTTCTAATTGTTAGTTTTCCGTGGTACAGTTCAAGTCTTAGATAAAATAGAGACATTGTTCCTTTCTAATTGTTAGTTTTCCGTGGTACAGTTCAAGTCTTAGATAAAATAGAGACATCGTTTCTTTCTAATTGTTAGTTTTCCGTGGTACAGTTCAAGTCTTAGATAAAATAGAGACATTGTTTCTTTCTAATTGTTAGTTTCCAGAGGTACAGTTCGAGTCTTAGAAAAGAAGAAACAACATTGTTTCCTTCGAATTTTCAATTTATCGAGGTAAAGCTCTCAACCAAACTCCGTTCTTCGGATTACATGCCAGAGTTGGGCACACAATCGTGATGTTGTCTTCAGTCTTCTCACAAGGTACAAATTTAAATTTCTTTATGAGTTTGAATAATGTTAATTTTGCTTCGAGTTGTGCAAATCTGGAACCAATGCAGTTCCTCGGTCCTTCACCGAATGGTAAGTAGGACATACTCTTTATGCGATTTTTGTTTTCTGGTGAAAATCTGTCAGGATCAAAATTCCATGGATCCGGGAATAATTCTGGATCATGCTGGAGTTGCCAAATGGGTACTAGCACGATTGATTCCTTTGGGAAGGTGTAGGTTCCTGCATTATAGTCTTCTCTGCATTCTCTGCTTATCAGTCCCGTAACAGGTGGATACATTCTCAAAGATTCTTCGAACACTTGATCTAAGTACCTGAGCTCTAAAAATAAAACAGAAACATTAACAGGGTGCTTAGCCGGATTTTTTCAACAAAAAATAAGCACATTTTAAGTACTTTTTAAGCACTCAAGAAATTTTTTAAATCATTTTCCAAAAAAAAAAAAAAATCATAATCAGGATCTACGCAGTAATAAAAATTGTTTCCTTCTATCGTTTAAAGTTCTTAATTTATAAACATAAAAATTAATAAAATTTAGAAACATTTTTAGAAACTTTACATAATCATGATAAAATAAATAGTTGCTGTTAAATAATGCCGAGAAAATTCCGAAAATCATTTATTTTTTGTAATTTATAACGACAATCGATACGGCAAAGAAAAAATCTCTTTTAAAAAAAAAAGGAAAATTAAGCACTTTTTACAAACTCCGATAATAACAGTACCTTTAAGGGCTTTTAAAAAAGTAAATCAAAAATAAGTACCTTTAAGCACTTAACGCTTTGCACTCTGATTAAATGACATCTTAATTTCAATTTATGGTGATTTTAATAAAGAAGTAAGCATAAACAAACGCCCGGAAGCACGTCAAAAGTCTGACAAAAAGTTACAAAGTTTCTTTCTAATTTTTATTTTACCACGGATCAGTTCAAGTCTTAAAATAAAGAGTAATATTGCTTCTTTCTCATTGTTAGTGTACAGTTAAGTACAGTTCCGGTGAGAAAGTTATCCCTAACTAACTGTTGTTTATCCTACTAGACGATATTTTCGAACACTTATTGGCTTGCTTATATCAAAACATAGAAATAAATAAGTGTTTCAAGTTATATATTTTACCATTCATAAGGAAATTATTCTATCATTTGATTCAGGCAAATATTAAGGCAATATCGTTTAGAAAAATTTGGCTTTTGATTTCAAAATAAAGAGATATGTTTCTTGAATTTTCAAAGGGAATCAGTGATTTGGCAAACTTGAAATCTGGATTTGGCTGTGCTTTTATTTCTGAATTGTTGTGTTAATATGCATACATATTTAGATAATTCTTAATTTGCACGTGATGTTTTATCTACCGAATGTTTTTGTAAGTAATAATTATTAATACACACTAAAAACTAAAAGAACGCTTATTCATTGCAAAGTAATATTTTTTTCAAAAATTATGTACTTTTATATTCAACGAAATATTTTTGTTAATGGAAAGAGCACAGATCTACTATTAAAGGCAAAATTATCACCCATTCATGAGAACATTTTAAAGAGAAGATGGGGATGGACTGGATATATCTTTCGTCTAAAACGGGATAGCCTTGATAACTTCGCACTTACTTGGGCACCCGATGGAAAAGGCAAAAGAGGAAGGCCGAGACTTACTTGGCAAATGTACAAGCACCAAGATTTGTGCAAAGAAAAGCTAAATGGATGGGAGGAGGCAAGAGGGCTGGCCCAGGACAGGGGTGTCAGGAAAAAGAAATCTGACGCCTTATGTGCCAGCTGGCGCGTAGAGGGTAGGTAGGTATATATTTTATAAAGAAACATCTTTATAACTTTCATTAATTATATGCTGATGAAGATCAAATTCATTTGGGTCTTAGTTAATTTAGTACAGTACCAATTGATTTTCTGAACAATAAAAATGCACTAACAGCCACGAAACACAATTATATGCTATTATTCTTTATGTCACATAAAGAAACATAATAAAAAAGAATCAAAGTATATTTTGCGGTTTCTAACTTCTTTAGACAGAATATCGAATAATAATTAGACTAACCTTGAAAGGGACGGGATAGCCCGGTTCGTAGGGCACTGGACCCATGTCCAAGTGCAGTGGTCGTGGTTTCGATCCCTGCCGGCCGAAGACTACCCGTGTAGAAAATGGCGACTGATGCACGTTAAATCTGTCGAGTCTCAAAGTCCTTCATGTTCCCATAACAAATCAATACCTCTGGGGGTACTGAATTGGAGATCGATCGTTCTCTGATTCAGATCAAAATTATGATCTGTGGATGAATGAATGGATGTAAATGGGTTCACCCTATAAATGGGTGTGACGTATGGTCGCGGCAGAAGTCGAATTTTTGGCCATAGATGGTGCCACTGGAAAACAAGAACAATCGCACCCCCTCTGCTTTCATGGCATACGTCAACAATAACAACAACAACTAACCTTGAAGTGTGGTGTAGTTGGTATCAGGAGCTTGGTCAATTTCTTCGAAAAGGCGTTCTTGAATATCTGGATGCTTCACCAGCAAATAAAGTGTGAATGCAAGAGCTGTAGAAGTAGTTTCGTATCCACCAATCACAACCAGGAATGCATTTGCTACGACTTCTTTTGTCGTCAATTTTGTACTACTTTTACTATCTAAATGTAAATTGAAACTGTATATGAGCTTCAAGTAATACTAATACAATTAACAAAATATAATTATAATTTACTCTGTAAAAACTAACTGTAAATTGTATCGGAAATTTTTTTTCCACATAAATAATTTGTTTAAAGAAAAATATTGATTTTTTCTGTTTATAACCGTTATGCGTGAAATGTAAAAATTTCCATTTTTTTTACGGACTTTCTCTGTATACTTGACGGTTTAAAGCTATTTATATGACAAAACGGTTTTTCTCTTCTCTTCATCCTATTCATAAGCGAATTAAAAACGTCGGTTCAAATTATAGTTTTTGCCATTCAGTTATATTCGCTATCAGTTATATTTGCCATTCAGTTTATATTTGCTTTTACTTTCAGCAATTATTTTAGGGTTTTGAACATCATTTAAATGAAACTGCTAACTGAGTTTATCGTCAAAATGATACTCAACCAAATTAAAGTTTTGTTTCGATAAAATTGTTGGTAAGTTAAGAAAGTTATAAAATTGTCTGTTAATTTGTTTGCTGAAATAACAGACAATTTTATAAGGATCGATCAATATAGTTTTAAACGTTTTTACACTTAAATATACTTCCAATAAGACTTTTAAAATTAAGACAGTTTAAGATTTTCTTCATTATGTTTGCTCAGGGGACAGACCACTCCCTTGAGGAGCCCCAGGTTCTAATTTAAGCACTGACTGGTTGTACGAATTCTGTCCAGTCTCTCCCAGATTGCAATGCTGAAATTTTTTTTCTCTCTAATAACAGATTTTTTTTGCTTAAATTGCAGAGTTTGTTTGCAAGAATAACGATGTTTGTTTGCTAAAATAAAAGTACGTATCGGCTTAAAATACAGATATCCAGTTTTTAAATGACATTATTTTTCTGTGTGTTAAACGGTTTTATACTGGCACACAAGCTGACAGTGTTTTTCCATAAATGTACAAAAAACAAATTTCACAATGTATATTTTTTATGTTAATTGTATTAACAATATATAACAATAATATAATTGTATTAACTGAATTAATAATATATAGCTATAAAATTGTGTTAATTGCATTGCTAGTATTAAAAGTATTATGCACCATAAGTTCAACAATATTGAACCTAAATATTTAGGGACGCTATTAAATAAATTTGTTTGGAAACGGCTTATTATTTCGTATAAGTGTGGTAATATATTAATTCTTTTCATTTTTCAATAAAATAAATTAAATTTTTCTTCAAATTTGTGTTTTAGAACATGAATTTTATGCCAATGGGCATCAAATTTAAATTTGAAAATTTTAAGTTAAAAAATATTTTAGAGCATCTCATTTCAATTTAAACGATTGCTGTTTCAGAATTGTTTTTAACCCTCTATTTGCGTCACATTGCGTCATATCTGACGTCATTCTGCCATTTTGTCTTATGTTAGTATTATAACAAACAAGAACGAAGGAATATTTTTCTCATTTAGATATAAATGTTTTTGTATGATTCTTATTTTTCATTACTTGTAATTAATTTCGGTTTACTCATTCACCGAGTCCCTAATTCTCTAGCACACTAAAACAATTCTGGATCAAATCAAGGTAAAAGTACCGGCAATCAAGGTACCGGGACTTTTAACATTAAAATTCATTTTTACCGGAACGTGTTACGGAGCAAAAAATCTGATATATCGTAATTTTTACAGAATTTATTGCAACAGAATCACTGAAGCACTGTAATTCAATAAATAAAGTAAAAATTTTGGTACAATATATGACGATTAAAATAAATTTTACGGTAAAATGGATTTTACGGATGATACACCCAAAATTTCGGTACATATCTTAAATCGATTTACTGTCGTTACGATTCTGATTTACTCCTTACTGACTTAACCTTTAATCACTGATTTAATCTTTAACTTTGTCTTCGATTTCCTGATTCGTTTCTTCAAGTGCATATTTCATTCACTGAATTACTGACCTATCCATGATACCATTGATTCGTTCTTAAACTGATTTACTCATCCGTTGATTCTTAAAGTTCGTTGACTTTCTGATTTCTTTCATACGCAAAGTTTTATTTTTATTTTATAACCGTCGTCGAACAGCCGCCCAATTTTTATGGGTTTACGACTACTATTATTCAACTCTGCAGCTTTATAATTTTGAACTCAATCCAGAAAACGAGGGAACTCCTGGATCGAGTATTGGGAGAAAATTTTGCCTTCGTGGAGGACTTTTTGATAGAGCTAACCTGCATTTGTGTTCCATGGAGAGGAGCACCACGAGAACCCCCCACGGTTAGCCTGACAGCAAGGGGACTCTAACGCATGACTGAAGATATTTCGCGTCCGCACTGTGGTCGTTGCAAGCCGGATGCAGAATTCGTATCGACAGGGATTTGAACCCAGTTCGCCGCATTGGAAGGCGAACGCTCTAGCCCCTGAGCCATCGCGGCTTCATACGCAAATCGGCTTACACTTTGATTTACAAATACAATGATTCATTAATTCCCTTTTTTTTCTTTCTTCTCTTGTTTTCTTTCTTTTATTAACTCGCTGTATAAACAATAGTTTATAATGAAGGATACCTTAGAGACGCGCTATTCTTTTAAATATTAGTAGAAGAATGCTATTAAATAATTAAATAAAGATAGCTCCCCAAATTTAATCTTCTCAAGTTTAACATACAATTTAAAACTTGCGATCAGAATTTTAGGAACGTATTTATTAAATTTTATTAATAACAAACTTATTCACTACTTTGAAACTCTTTGGAGAAAAAAAATGTGTACCTTCCTCGCTAGAGTCGAGCATAAGTTGAAGTACATCCATGCTCCGTAAATCAGGATTCATTCTCCTTTCGTTAATTACTTTGTGCAAGTTTCCAACGATCAGGGAATTCAGTTGGCTGTGTTGATTCAAATTATTGACTATAAATGTAAAAATGGTTTCTAAAATCGGAAACATGATTCCAAGTGTTATGGCTGAAGTATGAGCCTCGTGAACAAATTTTCGCATCTGAAACAAAAGATTTCTTTTATTTTTAACAGCAGCACTTGATACATAGATTAATTGCTGGAGCATGCAAACACTCCACACAAACATACTAGGAGAATAAACGTTGACATGTAAAATAAAACTAATTATAAATATAACATGAAACTAACTATACATATAACATGAAACTAACTATACATATAACATGAAACTAATTATACATATAGCATGAAAATATTAGAAGAATATAAACATTTGTGGTGTAACTACCACTACGATTATTGAGCATCAATTCCCTAACATGTAACCCACGCTAACTCGATTAAATCTTGGGGTACCTTTTGATAGATGAAGGTTGACATAGTCTAAATCTACAATATCCACGTTGGTGATCTGCGGACGTGATCTGAACGTGTCTACCTAGACAGACACGCCTGCTTCGATGTAGGATCCACATTCAACAGTTGACTTGCTAATTGTGAATGCGTCATCGTCCTCCTTGCGCTGTTGCTTCTCAATCTCATTTACACACAACGGGATCTTGCACACAATCGGCTGCTAATAGCAACAAATGAGAATGCACACACGCAATCGTAAACTTAATCAACACCTCCTAGAAGTAGAAAGGCCTCAGCACGGATCAATTTAGTAGTCCGATGTGACGAAGTTAACTGCGCAGTAGACAAAAATAAGAAAAATGTCATTACGTTAGGGGTACTAAGCTGCGCAGTGGTTGAAAATACAAAATATGTCATTACGTTTAGACTACTAAGGGATATTCATGGTAACCCGTGCTGAGGCCTGTTCTTTCTAGGAGGTGTTGACTTAATACAGCTCTTCCCACAAGCGTTCAAAATCCGGTGATTTTAATACTGCTCTCCCGGTCTTTCGCAACTATGGCAGCTAGTGGTATCCGTTCGTCGAATTCTATTCCTGATAGAATTTCGGTGGGGAAGTACTGTGGTGTAACTACCACTACAATTATTAAACACCAAATCACTAGTATATAAGACTTGTAAACTCGATTCAATCTTGGGGGACCTTTTGCTATATGATGGTTGGCATTATCCGTTTCGATTCTCCCCCACATTTAAAACATTAGAGCATTAAAACATTAGAACATAGGAAAAATAAAAAAAAACATAAACAAAAAGTTAATAAAAAGTCATTCAGTTTGCTGGGCAAGTAATATCTCACGTGCTCTTTAGTCTGAAACAAAAGAAGCATACTATAAATTTGAATCATAACAATGTATGACTTTCTTATTTACTTTGTTTACATTCACTGATTTGCTTGCTAGTGTAACAGCTTTTCGGATTTGGTATTAAAGAACCAAAAAAAGAATTTTAAACATTTCATTTTAAATCAACATCAAATCGAGCGATTATATAAACTTTAAAGGATGTAGTTAAATCCTAACAGCAATAAGCGAACGGCAGTAATTAGAATGCACATTTACACTATATGAGTTATTTTCAATTTCGAAAATGCCAAATTTAGGCTACGCAATCGAATGCGAAATAGAATTTTTTGTTGTTGTTCTGCGTGCCACTATGCATCGACAAAAACGAAATTACGGCAAAAATTTTCAGCACTTAGAGCGCCAGTACCTTTTACCGTAACATCAATTTTTAACGAATTACTTTTCGGAATAAAAAGTCTATACCGTAATTTTTGCAGCTACATTCACAGTAAATAATTAAATATTACTGTAAAAATTACAATCTGAAATTTTACAGTAGAAATGTATTTTACGGTAAAATGGATTTTATGGATGATTTCGGTTGTGAAATAGGTTATAATTTTAAATATCAGTCACTGATTTCAAATACTTTTATAATGTTTAATATTTCCGCTTTTGTCTTGTTTAAAAATAATTTAAATTTGTCTTAATATTCACTCTGTGATACGCTTATGTTTGATTTCCGAACTCATTTCATTTTAAAAATTATTGTGTGCATGCATTTTAAAGTAACTGTTCTAATTTTAAACTGTATCGTAATAATAATTTCATTGAATCACTATTTTCTGACTTCACAATCACTTTACAGAATCATTTTATAAATTGTTCTTAAATTTACAAATAATTATTTGCTAATCTTACTGAAACCATTAATGGATCGTTTTCCTTTTCTAAACAACGAGTTTTCATAGCCAGAGCACATGCAGAAATCGTATCCAGGGTCAACCCTTGAAAAATTGTATAAATATTGAACATTTCGTTCCTTTGAGCTTTTCCGCTCACAATATCTACTGCAGCATCTACCTAAGAATAAAATACATTGATTATGAAAAAATAATAGATAAAAATTGAAAATTTGATTTATCGATTTTATTTTGCTCATCAGCTTTTTTTTAATCATAATAAGTCCCTTTTTCTTAATTTTTGTTTTGATTACTGAAAGGCGTAATTTGATTCACGACATAATGATATTTTATAATTTTTTGACGATTATAACATACATATTTAAGTATTTAAAAATATCTTCTCAAAATATGAGTTAAAGTCTCTTTAATAAAAAGTACTCGGATTAACTGATAAATTAGTTATAGTATCTGAGTTTTAACTTTCCTAAGTTTTTGATTGATCTGTTCTTTTTTCTGTAAATATTATTACTGTCTCATATCTATTTGCAATTATATTACATAGTGTTCTTTAATAATCATTATTAACATATTTCTATAATTTAAATCGTTTCTAGTTAGAGGATCGTAATTAAAATAAAAGTTATAAAGTACAAACTTTGTAATTGACTATTATTTTATTAGTTCTTGCATCTTATTTAAACAATAATCAGTCTAATATGATGAATATGTTTAAACAAGCTAATCGAAGTGAATCAGTGTAAAAAAATCATTAATGAAAGACTCACGCTCTTCATATAGCAGCGAGAGTATTTTAACATTATTAAATAATAAAACAAATCTTATTAGCATTCTAAGTATTACATTGGGTAACATATTAGTTGCTTACAAGCAGACCTACAAGGGTTAAGAGTCTCTAATGTGCTTCAATTTGAGAGTGAAACCTTGCCCCCACTTCCCAGAATGATTCAATCACATCACTTTTACAAAACATAGAAATCATGTGTTTAATAATATCAAATCTAGGACCTGTGATAATTAAATTTAGAAGCAATTACATGAAATAAATACAAATGAAATAGAACCCTAAGAAAAAGAAATATCTACAGATTTATAAACACATTCTAAAGATCTAGCTTTCGGAAAAATTTTAAATTTAAAAGATAAACACGCATAATAAACAGTTATAGAAAACTTGAATAAAATAAACGGACCACCAGAGTGCGCAAAAAAGAGAAGAAAAAAAACAGACTACCCTGAGTAACTTTTGATCAAATGATTGGATCTTCCCATTTTAGGACTCGACCATTTAGCGCAGACAATATTTCACTTTTTTAAGTTACGAAAGTAAACACGAAAACGTACTTTTTCTGTATAAACATACCGTTTTTTCGATGGATTCGGATTTTTCCTCCATAGGGGTTAGACGCTATTTGGAAAGTATTTTCCACATAGTTTGGTCAGTGGAGAGCGATCCAAAGTTTGGACTCCTAATGTTAATTTTGCTTTTTGCGTACTTCGCCATAGCTCGAGAACTTTTTAAGCGAATTGAAAATTTTGCGTAACAATAATAACATTCATTTATCCAAAGATAATTCTATGAAGAAAAGTAACTTTTACTTAATATTTATTATTTTTTAGAATTTTATTTCATAACAGTCAAAAAAATTTAATTGTAAGGTATACAACTTTTTTTACATAATTTTGAAAAATGTAATTTTACCAGGCAAAAAATAAACAAACAACAATAAGCGAAATCCGTCGACTAGTTTCTGAGAAATCGAATTTTAAACCAAACTATGGGGACCATATTTCCCAAATTCCAGATACTACCTATATTTTGGGGGTCAGAGATCCTAATTATAGGATAACGGTAAAAATGGTAAGTTTATTCTGAGAAAGTATGTTTTTGTGCTTCATTTCGTAACTTAAAAATATCTTCTGCATTAATTAATTAGCATATCAGAAATCATCCCCTCGAACCAATCAGATTGAGTCCTAAAACGTGAAGATCCAATCATGAGATCAAAAGTTATTCTGGGTGGTTCGGTTATTTCTTTGAACATTCTGCTTTAAAAATAATAATAGAACATCATAAATTTATATTCTTTTTTCATATGAGAGTAAATCATTGTGCTATTCAATCAGAGCGCGTAGCCAAATCTTTCAACAAAAAACAAGTACCTTTTAAGTACTTTTTAAGCACTCAATAAATATTTTTAAGCACTATATACATTAACAAAATGCAAAATAATTTTCAAAGACTTTACGAGATCATGAGAAAACAACAAGTTTCTGATAAAAAATTAAAAAAAACTCTTTTCTTGATCATATAAGCAGTTATAAAATGATCGAGAGATTTTTCGGTTTGATATCAGGGGGTGGAAAATGAAGCTTGAAATTGAGAACATCGTGCACAAATGCAACAGAGTTGCACATGAAAGAGCAAGAATCTCAACCAACCCAGCTCACTATACGCACATGCAGACTCGCAAATATTTCATCGAAACCGTAAAATAATTAGCGCTTTCATACGCTACCACGTGACGGTACGCTGAAATGTATTGTGAAAACGTTGAATAGAACAATGTGAAAAGCACGCTTTTGCATAACACATGGCAAAAATAGAAATGGTAAAAAAAATCTCCTTTTCGAAAAAAATTAAGCACTTTTTAAAAACAACCAATGAAAAAGCACCTTCAATGGCTTTTTAAGAAACGAAAGTCAAAAATAAGCATCTTTAAGCACTTTTTAAAAACGCTACGCACTATGTCAATCCGAAATATGCAACGTATGTATTTGCTTCCGGTATTTAATTTCCTTATTAATTCTAAACATTTGCTAATTGATAGTATGGGTTTAGTCAATTTACTCACTTTCTTTTCAAAAATACTTTTCATTAGTTTCAGTTTGCTGGTGCTGAATACAGGAGAGAGAATGGATCGAACTTCTTTCCACCGCATATCACACAATCCAATCAGAGATGCGTCAAAAGGTTGAATGTTCATGTACAATCTCGGGCGATTAGTGAACATTGAAAAGTCTTTAATCAGTATCTGAAAAAAAGTTTTAGAAAAATCTTAAAATGAAATACAAAATTCATTTTTTCGTTCGTAAATGCTTTTGGAGATTTTATCGCCAAACAAATTGCAATAACTGGCAAGGAATTAGTCGTTTGCTTATTCTATCAAAACATTTTACTTCGAATTATTATGAATAGAATAAAAAAAAAGCATTGAAAAAAGAGTTAGGATTGATCAAGCATGTTTTCGAGGTGAAAGAATCAAATCAAATTTTTATTCTAAGAAACATTGAGCAAACAATCAGGCCCGGACTGGCCAGTAGGCAGACCGGGCAATTGCCCGGTGGGCCGGTCTGGCCTGAGGGCCGGTTGGACCGAGCCAGCAGCGCAAATTTTTTTTTTTTACACATTGCATGAATTTCAAATAATATTGCGCAAATAATAATAATATTAAATAACATATATATGATATATGTAGTAATAATATTGCTTTAATATACAGGGTGATTCAGATCATGCGTGCCACCCATTTTTTTCGAGAATGGAGCAAATAATCGATTTGAAATAAAAAATCTAATAACTAAATCGACCCCAAGGAATTCAATAGTGATATTGCTGATTCCCGGAAGTACCGGAATTTGAACACAATTTTGATTTTTTAAATGGAAACCTATATCTTATTTGGCATCCCTGGAGAGGGTTTTCGAAAA